CACAGGCGAGGAGGGAATTCATCGATGGTTAACTAGACGGCTGAATTTTTATGGTCGTGACCAGTCCTTTCTAGGTCAACTGACGAGAAAACTTAGTTCATAGACCGAACTGACACAAAACGACCGTCTGATTCGTCTACCATGACCGCTTAAGAGAATTGGCCGTCGTTACTAAAAAAAATGATTTGCTTCTGTTTGTTTTAGAAGAACAACTTTATTCAAAGACCCAAAAAATATCTTAATAAATAAATGAACGCAAAAATTAAATCACAATAAAACAATAGTGTTTTAATAATGTACAACTATCTTAGGGAAATCCACAAGATGATTTGTCTGTACACGCCGCATGCGCAGCATACAATGTAGCACTGGTCGCCCTTGACAATAAAAAAATTGTTACTCGTTCATGAAATATGAAACTTAATTATAATTGTTTTTTTAAATAGTACGACACAGGTGGATTTTCGCGCGTTCTTCTCGCTGTACTGAGTTCCCTCGGTCCTGAAACAACGTATAACTGGACATTGCGCCGGTCTCAGTCACCGCCGGCAGTTCCCATTAGAGTCGTGACCATGTTCCGATGAGGTTGTACGTTGACGAGTGTTCAGTCCGTGAAAATTATTGCGGGCGCGTAGGAAACTTGAGTGTATATATTTGTATAATTCGTACTTAAATGCCGCGTTTCGAAGTCATCACCAACCGCTATGGAAGCATTATCGACGTACGAGAATGTGGCGATGGGTGAGTTATAAAAAATTGTAATTTTAATAATTATTTCCTTTAACAATAAAATGCTCTCACACGCATTCTCACATTTCGGCAGCTCAGTCCTAGTTCTTAGTTATCGCAATGATTTTTCTTGCATCCAAATTAAGAATAAACCATTTTAATATTTAACGTTAATTCCCTTGTTATCGTTGGCATTGAAAATAAAAAAATATATACATTTAGAATATTTTTATTCGCAAAATGTTTAACCCTTGGATACGTGACTATTTAATTTCATATTTTAATGCAATTGAAATAGTTTTACTTTATAATTAGATTCTCACGATCTAGTTCTTCTATTTTTTGTTCTTTAACTCTCAATTAATTTATGAACGTTCACAAGCACGTATAATACTTTTTTAAATATTTTTAATTTATAATTATTATGTAATTCCATCATTCAATTCAAATTATTAATTTTACGCTCCTTTTATTTTTTATTATGCACGTAATTTAAAAACTGCTCTCAGACAATATTATATTATTTACGAATTATTTTTTTAACATTTAAACTATCAGTTAATACTTATATGTAAACATTTTTATTTTTTTTTCAATACGGTAAAAACGGTTCTAAAAATAATACAACAGGTTTAACAAAACTGGTATAATTAATTCAGATAACGTTTTTATTTTTCTGAACAAAAGTAGAAAAATTTTCGTATAATGTACAAAGCTTTATTTACTAGCTCATGAATGTTTCCATAGTACATATCTGTTAACAGTATTCATTTTTAGTTATAGAAAAAAATATAAATAAATAAGAATAAATTTATATCATTATATCAAAAACGATGGCCGAAACCCATACGTTTGACTAATCAAATTTGTCATATTAATTATGAATACTAATTATTACTGAAAACTGGATGTTGGAAATTATTTTCTTAGAGAAGTCCGTTCTCAAAAAAATATAATTGTATAAAGGCAACTAAACAAGTGTTGAAATTGAACTGTTCATTAAAAAACTTAAGAGTGATAAAAATGTATAACATTTTTTAAATAAAAATTAAAAGTAATTATGAAAAATAATTCTTTGTGTAGACTTAACTGTAGTACTAATTAACGATGATCCTCAATTATACAAATCGACATGTTATTATTATTATCTTTATGTTCGTGATGATTAAACTTTAACGACATCAATTTTTTGAAAATGGTTAACAACAACGCAATATCATCAAGACATATAAAAAAACTTCTAATATTGTATTTACAATAGCATCCATGATAACTGACATTGAAAACATGTGTTCAGTATTTCTTTATAATGATAGTAAACTTTAAAAACTTTGACAATGCTTTGATTATATAACTGTTAACAAATTTCCATATCATAGTACATTAAAAAATACTTATATTATAACAGACGATACCGTTTTCATTTTCAATTTTACTAATTTGATATGCGAAAGAATGTACTTAGAATTTAATGGCAATTAACAAGCGTTTTTCTTCAATGCATGATTCTGATATTTTTATATACTCAGTATCTTTTTGTGCTTTAAAAAATGTAATGCAGCATAGCAATTTTTTCTTGTACATACACATTATAATATTTTATTTTCGATAACTACATTTTTATTATTATATGAAATTATGTTTAAAATATATTCGTAATCTTTTAGTCTGAGATAAAAATACATAGATCCCAAATAAATAATTCTTGATTAGATTAATAAATTTTTATAATCTTTGTAAATGCAAAATCATGTTTTAAAACAGTCTCTCAGAAAACTCATGCATCTAAATTTAATAATCTTATCTCAACATAAAATCGTATTAATAGAAATGCTATATTAGGAATTGATTAATGGTTGAAATTTTAAAATTGCTGAGTTCAATTTATTGAAAATAAATTTTTTATACATAAAAATGTAAAACACAAGCAAAGTGATCAATAAATTTCCGTTTAACAATTTTTTTTTTTTTACAATAAAGCACTTAATTCTAATAAAATACTTTTTATTTGTTTACTAATTAATAATTGATAAATTTTATAATCAACTTGTTTTAATCAGGAAATGTTATCGGTTCCAAAAAATAAATTGAATACTCTGATACAAATTTTACAACATTAATGAAGGTTAAATGAGATAATACTGTTCTTATTCTTAGTACTTCCTAAGACTAAACTATATACATTTATCCTGGCATAATAATCCAATACAATGAACCTGGGGACCTCTTCTACTTCGTAAATGTTCATTGTGATCGTAAATACAATTATATTATTATTTTATGATATCATGGCGACTGCTACGAAACACAATTGAACATTATACTATACCGCATCTTTAAAAATGTACAGCGGGCGACTTGTAGTTATTAATATGGGCGTCTCGGAGACAAGATGAGTTGTGGTACGTTGGCGTAACGCGAGACTTAAGTACATACTAAAAATATAAGAAAAATTAATATCGATGGATATTTTACTAAAACTCTGACTCATTCTAAAACCCATATTGGTTGCCATAAAATATTTTAATGCAAATTTGTGAATTTGGCATCAGATTTGCAGTTGTATAACATCTTAAAAAAGAGTTAAAATATTTTTAAAGAAATGTATTTTTTTAAGTAGACATTAGATATTTGTTTATTTCATATTCATGTCAACTAGACAAATACTTCACGTAAATGTTTTTGTGGCTTACAATTCTTTTCTCGGGTACAAAAGTCATTAATATATACAATATTTAAATGTAACTTCGTATATTATTACCACATTAAGCGTATTGTTATAACGAAAAAACATAAAAAAATTAGATGCAGCACATAATCGCTAAAAACAAATAAAAATATTATAAAATCTAGAAGGTTAACAAAAAACTTTATGAATTTTATAAAAAATTTACTATAAATGAGATGCAACAACATGAATACAAAAAAAATCTCTAAACTAATATCTATTTACGATCAGCACACGGCTTGGTAACTCCATCTCAGTATCACTATTGATCATTTACTAGCATTATAACATTCCACGTGCAGTATCCGTTAATTATTCTAACGTAGGTCTATGGAAATTTAGTACGTGTTTGGTTATGAGCTGAAGTGAAAATTTTCACTGGAACACATTTGAATTTATATGAAGACAATTGGATGCATTCAATCGTAAAAAGGATAATTAATAAATTATAATACTTTTATTCATGTAAATAATATTGAAATTTTTGAAAATTTAAAATCAGAGTTAAACATTGAAATCTACGATCTTTTGCAACTCAATCATGTATTGCAAAAATAGACAATTGCTTTTATAATAAAAGTTAGCTTGAGTGTAAAAACTTTTAGTTGCAAAATTGATTATCTAGTTCGCATTGTAATGAAAATACATAACTTTTCAGAATTTAACCTATTGGCATTGCTGTCCTTGTTTAATATATTCAATACATTATTTAAACTATAATGATTGAAATTTTTTATAATCATTAATAAAGAAAAATCTTTGATTATTCTTATACAGACTTAGTTTTAATAACGCAACTAGTGTACTGAAATTGTATTCATACGTCAAATTATTTTCGTTTGATTTTAAAGTTGATCAAATTATAATAAGTTTTATAAATCATTTTATGCTAAATATGGTAATGAAAAAAAATATTTTTTTTATATAATATTGCCATAGAAAATCTAGAATTTTTTTTGGTGATGATATACGTAAGAAAATTTTTCTCTTATTTTAACAACAATTCTCTTTTATCATAAAAATATTATGAAAAATAAAACAAATACTAGGCAATAGGGTCCAGTAAATTCTTTGAACTAGTTACTTAAAAAATGCAATTTATTCTTTTTTGAGTGTTAAAATTATAACTTAAAAGAAAAGACATATTAGGTTAAAAATATTGATTGTATAAATATAAAAAATTATGAGTATTATTTGGAACATTCAGTAAATACAATTATAGTTATTTCAATACAATTCAAAACTATTTTTATAGATTTGATTCACACATAACAATAATTTAAATATTAATATGCAAAAATTAAAAAAAATTTCCATTGTATTTTATCTTAATAGCCAATGAACTGCTTGTAGCAATAATAATAATAGTGATTTGTACAGCTATAAAATTTTAATCAACCACATCGCATTGCCCTTGATAATGATACTCGTTTTTTGAAGTTCATTTTTTCTTGTTCAAAAGTAATAATTACAATATTAGTTGTATATATTCATCTTAAGTACTATAAATATTCTAAAATTAATTGTGTTTTATTTTTTGCAGAGCGTACGAAATGTCACAGGAGTCCCAAAGTCCTTTAGGCCAATGGAGCAACAATTACAGTTCAGTGTTGGCCACTCTCGGCTGTACTTTGGGAGCCTTCAACATCAGTCGGTTCGCAATTCTTACAGTACAATTTGGAGGTAAATAACACTTTATTGATAGTAAAATCATAAAATTTTACTTTATATATTAAATTTTAATATATATTGGGCTTTCCAACGTGTGCCCGAAATAGTTTACCTTGAATCAGAATTTAAGTTACTTATTTGAATATTTAATCTTGAAACACTAGATTTAATAAAACACGTTTCTCAATTTTTTTTTTTTTTTGATAAGAAAATTTATTTATAATAGGTATATTTATATATACTTATAAAATACCAGGATCAGCATCTTCATTCAAATGTTGAAGTGATATTTTCATTCATTTCATCTGTTTGATATGAGTGACATAATTACTGCATTTTTACAACGATAGCAACTCATTTTTAAAGCACAAAATTATTAATTTTTTAATAAAAAATTTTGTTTAATTTTATAATCAGAAAATGATTAAATTATTATTTTGATTAATAATAATTTTTCATAGTTCACAAAAATTGTGTGTACTAATTAAAAATTTCATTCTAATAATTCTAATAATTCTATTATTTTTGTCTTTTTTAGCCAACTTTATACTACAGTTCCTAGTGTTATCTTTGCTAGTCGGCATTCCACTGTTTACATTCCACAGTTCACTTGGTCAATTACTAGGCGCTGGTGTAATGGATATGTGGCGAATTTCTCCAATATTTAAGGTAATCCAACATCGAATCTAGCGAATTCTATTCAACTAATATTTATATAATAATTTATAGGGAATTGGTATAGCTTTGTTACTAGCCCAAGCATTTATCGGCACATACACTGTTATCGGCGTATCATGGATGTTTACGTATTTCCGTGATTCATTCATCACGAAACAAGACATTTATCGTTGGGCAGAATCTATCGACGAATATAAAGAAGGTAACTAAAACGCTGCAGGATAAAGTTATTATCGCCATGATACCTATAATTAACGTATCTAAACATTTTTTTATAGACAGCGTGCCAGGGATGTATTCGTATAACGTCAGCTACAACATAGAAGAAACGGTACCAGGTTACTTTAATGGCATAGTTTTACAAAGGAAATATGTAGAAAAACTTGAAATGAACGACAATTCGTTGAAATTATCAGTAGTCATAAACTTAACAATTGTCTGGGCTATTGTTTTCATTTGCTTGAGCAAAGGTAGGATATCAGCTAATTTAATGAATTTAGCTTTACTACTAATCGTCCAGTCTTTATTACTATGGAAGTTTTTTTTTATTTCATAGGCCTAAAATCCTACAGCAAAGTGGTGTGCTTGTTTTCGCTGGTTCCAATATTTGGAATGTTCATGTTGTGCACGAAGATGTTAGGTATAGCGCCAATGATTGGATTTCAACATCAAGATATTTTTCCTGAAACTGATTGGAGCGAATTTTTCCTTAACACTAAGGTAATTGTACGATTTGTGTACGTCATTAAAATTACAGTATTCAATTGTAGTATGCTAAATTTTTATTTAATAATTTTCTGTAACAGCAATGTATTAGTGCTGCTGAAATTAAATGTTTGTTATAGATAATATTCAAAAATTGTGTGTTTCCCTTATTATTGAATATTTTGGATTCTATTTAAATCTATAACTGTTATTTCAATAATCTTTTATCTAATGTAATCGATTTTTTTTTATTGTAGAAATTTAAAAATGGATCTTACTTTCTTTTTTTTTTTTTATATCATCTCTATACGTTAAAATATAATCAATATGAAATTATTTTTATTTTTATGCCTTTAAAAATTACTTAAGGGCGGTGTTTTAATAGATAAAGTAAAAATCTTTGACCTTTTTTTAGTTCAATTTGGTTGCACTACAGTATCTGTACTTCTGACAATATTGTTATGTAATGTATTTTGTTTATTTTAGAGTTGGGTTGCAGCATTCACAGAAGTTTTCCTTACGTGGGGCATATTAGGTGCTTGTGCAATGCAAATCACATCACACAATCGACCTAAACATTTGCTTCATAGAGACGCTTCACTAGTAGTCATTCTTACCATTGCAGTACTTATATTAGCCGCATTTTTGGCTAATACTTGCGTACAGCTTATAGAAGCTTATGGCTATGTATATCTTCCTAGTTCATTTGGTAATAATTATTATTAGTTATAATTACCTTATTTGTGATTTTACCTTTAAATAATGATTATTATATTAAATTAATTGTTATTTCAGAGCGTGAGAGTTCCTATATATTTATGTTCAAGCAAGATTCGTCTCAAGCTAAAAAGCACTTGACACCAGTTCGATGGATGCAACATAGTAGCTTACTTTTGGGTGAAAGGACAATGAAAACCAGTGTACCCGGAATGCCACAAGAGAGCGGTTACCAAGCAATGCGGTTGGCTACTGAACTATTCCCAGCAACTTTTGCTTTGGTTGGCGCCAAAACCATATCTCCTTTTTGGTCGGTTTTATTCTACTTTGTTATGATCATGTTCGGTATCGGGCAACAGGTACACGGATAATTAGTTTTGTATACTTTTATTGATAATTAATAGGAGGATAGAGAAAATTTTCCTTGATTTTTACACTACGTTAATATTTTAATTCAATTTATGGGTAACAGTTACTCTAAAGATAATCCTTCTATTAGATCTTTAATTGTTAACTCTAAAATTTAAAATTTGTTAATTATGATTAATGTTAATTATAGATAGCTATATGGCATTGCGTAGTCAGTGGAGTAGTATCTTTGCATCCGTTCAAATTGCGCAAATGGCGCACCACAATCACATTTATGGCATGTGCTGCAGCTTTCTCTATTGGTCTATTTATGGCAACTGAGGTAAGTTTTATTCATAGGCACAATCTGAGGAAGTATTGGAGACTTAGCTCTTCCATAAATTATGAAAATTACATATATTTTTATGTAGAAATATTTTTAAAGTGGCAAGAAATTTTAATTAGACTTATAAAACATTTTGCTCAAATTGCACCTATGGTTTTACTTTTTAATGTTTACTTTATCTGAATAAATAAAACACTAATATTCTGATGATACCAGTTAGGAATATTTATTGTATACCTAATGGATTTCTGTGTTGGTTGTGGTTGGTGGATGATGATATTGTACTTGCTTGAAATTGGAGCATTATTTATGGTTCGAGGTAGACCTTATAGTGGAGAAACCGTCGTGGCAACTCTTTTTTCTCAAGCTAATCAACATTTGCAAGTATGGTTGGCACCTTTGTTATCCTTCGATTGGAATATTATAGTACCTGTTGCATTGATTGTAAGTAATATCTATAAACAATTTAACTTTATTGTACATAATATTTACATTAAAACGATGATTAACTAATTGTTCTTTTTCCTATAGCTCTTGAGTACTTCAGTGTTCAAAAACGGAGGATACCGCTGGTTATACAATTGGAAAAATACGACACATTTATCGTATTGGTCTTTGTCTAGTAGAGAATTTGGGTGCCTTTTGCAGATCATACCTTTGCTGATCGTACCGTTTGCCGGTATTGTACAAAGTTGTCGGTATTTAGTTACGGGACCACCAGACTTATTCGATGTGAGTTTATTTGAAAAAGGTCATTTTTTTAAGAATTTTAATTAACTTTAATATTTATTGTGTTACAGAGAATACAAATGTTGTATCGACCAGTGATTGAAAACAGGAGAGTTGGAGAGAACGGCGAGGGTTCAACAGAACACGGAACTAATAGATCGACAGCAGTGCCGATTGATGATCCTCCACCAAAATATACTCCTCCCCCATCATACTCTACGGCCACCGGAGCAAGGTCAATAAGATTATCTGAATTAATTATGGTTAACGAAAAAGAAGTAGCGTAGTGCATGTTTCTTCAACGTACTAATATGAATAACACGCCACATTTTATACTTCAAAAAAAAAATCAATTGTACAAAGATATATTTTGTATATAATTTGTTGTCTTTTTTTTTTAGTTAATAGGCTTTTACTTAAGACTTCTGTTTCATTAGCTAAATACTATTTTAGATTTTATTGTATTTTAATAATTAATATTTTATATCGTTATACATTTTGTATAATTAACAAAATCGTAATGCATAATGACACTTATGGTTACCTTTTAACTGCACTTACTGGTTTCTTTTAACCCTTCACATTTTACTATCATGTTTATTCTATTTATCTAATACAAATTACTATTTCTATTTCACATTTTACAAAGTTATTTCATTGCATACATAACTTTTCACATTCTGGTGTTATAACTCACCACATCAATGAAATTTTATTTATAGAATTGCCAAAATGTTACGACAAAGTATTCGGAGAAGTGTAAGAAGGATAGCCCATGTTTTAGGAAATCAAAATAGTCAGGCCGTTCAGGGAGAATCATCTACTTCTGCAACGAACATTGAAGCATTAGCGTCTAACAGTAACCATCAATCATCACCACAATCACAACTTACCCGTGGACAAACATCTTCACATGTACCTTCAGCTCCTCCAGCTACAGAGGTTCATTCTTCACCTCCACCTTTTGAAGATGTTGTTCGTCGACAATCTGCGACATTGCCACCACCCCCTGATTACTCTACTGTGCTGGTAGAGATTAGCAAGAAAGGTAGAAATATGAGTGACGCTGGATTTACGGGCAATGATAGCAGAAGTAACGTAGGCGAAACTTCGTCAACTTCTAGTCTATCTGACGAACAAAGTACAAGCATTGAGTGTCTTATGGAAAGGGTGGTACCAATCAACATTGACCGAGCATGTGGGTCCGGCATGTAATCGACTGCGTCTAAACGTCTTTGGCACGATCTCACTTTTAAACGAATAAGACACTGACGAAATCAGTAAGATATTTCGTTGTTTGTAGTAATAGTGAAGATTTTACAAGTAGATCGCGTTGTTAAATTACACATTGAACATAAAATATTGTACAAAACTAATCGAGCCTATGTGTTTTTATATTAAATGAAAAACAAAATGACTGTGATAGACTTTTTTTTTATGTAATTAGTATACATTTTTTTACACAAATTATTGTCTTCATTATATCTTAAGATCCTATATAATATATTTTAGTTTGTACTGAATACTGAGGAAATATGTAATTCTATGTGTACAAATAATGTAACAAATAAAATTTGTTTTTAACTGAAATTCTAGTTGTTTTATTTTTTTTAATTGACAAATCAATAATTTTAAAAATAAAAACTTCCAGCTACCATATATTTCTGACTATATTAAGATACTAGCGACCAATTTTTTCAACCAAATGCACTTGGCTGACAGTGCAAAATATTATCATTTAACTGCTCCACCTTCTGTAAGACGCCTCAAGCGAGGACGTCCACACGACCTTTTAACTTAGTTGCTATCTTATTATTTATTATTATTATTGTTACTTTCTCTCCTTTATTCTTAGTTAAAAAAAAAAAATAATAATAATGTAAATAGTTAGAATAGTGTATATATTATCATTTATTAATGTATATAATAAGTTATTATTATTGAAAATATAAAATCCGACTTTCACGACTATGAATTAATTTATACTGATGCCTCCAAAAATACAAATGGCACAGGATGCGCATTCATTTCAGGCAATATAAATAGACTTTACAAACTACCCTCAGATGCAAGCATTTTCACGGCTGAAATCTTTGCTATTAAAGAAGCAATTACCTACACTGAATCCTCCCTGATGAATAAAGTACTAATCATAAGTGACTCCTACAGTGCCCTGACTTCATTATCATCAAATAACCCGTCAAATGAACTATCCCTCCAAATATGCAACATCATTAATAACTCTGATAAAATTTTTGAATTTATGTGGGTCCCATCACATATTGGAATCAATGGTAATGAAAAAGTTGACACATTGGCTAACCAAGCCATATCTTCTACTTTCTCATCAAAAATAATGTCACTACCATATAAAGATATTTTAAAAATAATCAACCGAATTTCCGTCCAACAGTGGCAAACCCAATGGGATGGTACTACCAATAACAAATTAAAAAACATTAAAAAAACTGTCCATAAATGGCGTTCGCCTATCAACCCAGCTCGCGTAGTAGATACCCTTATCACCAAAGTCAGAATAGGGCATACAAGACTCACACACTCACACATTTTCAACAAAGAGGAACAACCGTATTGCTCTACATGTGAAGTACCATTGACCATTGAACACTTAACACTCCACTGTCCCACATACAATGATGAACGGAGTATACTAGGCCACCCCAACAACATGGAGGAAGCTCTGGGCGAAGCAAACACGGATGCCATTTACAGATTCTATGAAACCGCAAGACTTGTAAATTTAATGTAAATTCATAACATTATTGTATAAAATTTAATGATAAATATGTGTATATAGTTTAAATCAATTGATTGTCAACTTATAACTTTAATTAATGTACAAATAATAATCATGAAAAAAAAAAAAAAAAACTGTAGGCTAATGTCCATAAGTTGTCGAAGCCTTTTCATAATAAAAAAAAAAAAAAATTATAATAAGTTATTGTTTCCAAATGTCAAAAAATTATATGTGTTAACTGTAAGTCAAGATGACGAGATGTCAGGTAGACTTTATAAATAAATAAAAAAAATAAAAATAAAAAAAAAATAAAAACTGTAAAAGGTTATTTAATTATTTTTCAGAATAATAGATAATTTTTATTAAATTAACAATAAACTATTGAATACATTTATTTATTTTTTGATATCAAAAAAATGTTTAATTTTAATGAGTTGTTTGAATTAATTATTAAAAAAAAAATTATGAATATTAAAAAACATTTCGTCTATATAATTAATTATGCGTTTTAAAATGCGAGGAAAAATTACACAAAAATATCTTAAAATCTGTTTTGACGGCCCATAAACAAAGCAACATCATTGTATTTAATCATAAATATAAATGGATGGTTAGCTACAAATGTAGCCTCAGGAAATCCTTGAATTCTTTCTCCCATTTTCTTTTTGATTATTATGCCTATATTTTATAAAAAATAAGTCAATAATTCTTAATGGTTATTAGTAAGTACATTAAATAAAAATTACTAAGTTCAAGTAAATGTATATTTCCCCCAAGGTGAGTTATGACTAGATAATTTTTTTTCGATTAAAATTTTGTTTTTTTAGAACTTCAAGACAAGAATTCAATTTCCAAAAATATATACTATGTATTTTTAAGTTGTATATTTTATTTGTATAATATAACACCATTAATAAATTTTGACCTAACAAATTTAGTTATTTTTTGTTAAATAATTTTTTCAGTTTTGGATTGTTAAAAACATATTTTTTATTTTATGTCTCTAGAAAGAAAAAACGAAAATAATGACCTCTTTTTTTTTTAAATTTTGATCAGTTCATAATAATTTTTTTTGTTAGAAAAGTATTAAAAAATAGCTATTTCAAAATTTTGAAAAAGTTTAAAATTTTCTTTTTTTTTAGAGATAAATGATAAAATATATGATTTAAACGTAGTCAAAATATTAATAACTATTTTAAAAAATAATTTAAAAATAATGATAATTAGATTAAAAGTTAAAAGCGTTGTCAATTAAATCCGATACATTGTATATACCATATTTGTGTAAATAATTCTATATTATTTAATAGTTTTTAATCAAATAATTATTGAAAAAATTCAGTGTTATAATAAATTCAATTCTAAATTGTCACAACAAATTTGGTATAAAATTTTCTCCAAGTTAATTTTTGCATAACGGCTATAAACTATTACCTGTAAATGCAGAAGCGTCAGTACCTTCTTCGTTTACTTCTATATTTGCTTTGTGTAAAACATCAGACACTACTAACTCATTTGAATTTGAATTAATCATGCCAGAGAAATCAGCATTTTTGGAAAACATAGAACTACAACCCATCTATTTTTTACATAAAAATGAATTAAATATTATATATACCAATATATTTTATTAAATAATACAATTACCTCTGATAATGTATTCTTAAGTTTAAAAGACTGCTCAATTTTAAATTTTGGCATAGTTACTGTTACGTTATGAGTCATCATTTTATTTTTTAAATCGGATATTTTGAATAAATTTTTCTCTAAAGTATTTAATCCATCTTTGCTGTCAGGTAATAAAATTATCATATTGAATTTTCTATCCTAAAAAAAATGTGGTAGATATTATCATTTAATATAGCAATAGAGTTTTACTATATATTAATACTTAACATTAATAACATTAAAATAAAACAATAAAAACTTAATTTAAAATATACTCATATTCATATTTTTTCTGAATTTATTTAAAATATTTGAGACTAATGTTATGTAAATTAAAACAATAACTGTAATTATATTAATGTGTATATATATATATTATATTAATATATATAATAATAACTGGTACCTAAATTTCTGTAGCTTTTCAATAATGTACATTTTAAATTATATTTGTCTAGCAATAAAAAATAATTTTAAATAATTTACTTCGTATGGTAATTCAAGAGCTGAGAAATTTAAATTCGAATCTTTGTAATAATTAAATATATAGCTCCTTTTCATCATTTGGACATTGATTTTTTCTGTTGGTGTTAGATAAAATGGTTCTTCTTTTGTTAACTCAGTTATGAACTTATTTTTCCAAAAGTGACGAAAATGTATTGCATTCCCAATTACCAATTTTGTATCTGAATCAATACTTCCTACAAAAAGTACAATTAATTAATGAAACAGTAGCAGTTGACAGTAGTATAGATAATATCTGACAGGGATTAAAATCACTATCATAAGAAACGCTTCGATGCAAATATGTAGATAGTGTTTAATTTTAAGAAATTGGTGGATTATTCAAAGCCAAAATTCTAATTCAAAAATAATTAAGGAAAAATTAACTAAATTGGCAAACGTTTGTCGCATTTGTTTTTAGATAAAATTGGCAATTTAAGCTAATTCAAATGTAAAATTAATTTTTTCGACTCAAAAGAAAAAAGCTTCGATGCGAAGCTGAGATGGTATTAATTTTACCATGATGTGTTTTTTTTTTGTGGTTGTTGCCACTTATTCTCAGCTTTCACCGAACCAATTTCTTTCGGCGATACGTCAAAAGATCACAAATCGTATCTAGTTGAAGACATTACCCTCAAAAATTAACAATTTTTAACTCTTTCCTCATAAATGAGGGAAATCTCCAAAAAAAATACGATTTTAAAAATCAGTAATTTTTGACATTTTTTTCTTAAAATTACTATAACATATTTAAAAATGAACGAATAAAAATAACTTTTTTTTATATTGAAACCTTAGATATTTCTATTTTATTTGATATTATTTTTTTTGAAAATCTAACATTTAACCGCTCACAGGAGGAGATTTAAAATTACAACTTTTTTATATTTCCAATATTTCCGGAAAATATTCCAATATTGAGTTGAAAAAGTTTAACTTATGTATAAAAATTGTTATTTTGGATTCACCCTGTGATCGATCAGATCAAAAGTCAGATTTTCAAAAAATGTACAACAAATGAAAGAAGTAAACATAAAATATTTATGAAAAAATACTTGCATTTATCCATACATTTTTAAAATAGTTATAGTTTTTTAAAGTTGAAAAAATAAAATATGAAATCGTAAATTTTAACACCAAAATCTATGTTTTTTATCTACGGCAATCATTTTTAAATGGAAGATAAGTCGTCGGGACATATTTTTTTTTTTTTTTTGAACTTAAAGTACATAACATTAGCTTTATTTTAGTATATGTTTGAAGCTCGGAGTATTTCCGGAACATTTTCAAAAGTCAGGTTGAAAAATAAAATTTTTGTGCAGAAGTTGCTATTTTCAATCCCCTCCTGTGGGCAGATAAAGGGTCACATTTTCAAAAAAATTATATCAAATGAAAAAGTAATATCTATGGTTTTAATATAAAAAATAATTATATTGATTTGTATATATTTCAATAAGTTATGGCAATTTTTAAAAAAAAAAGTTTAAAAAATGTCGAAATTTACTGATTTTAAAAATCGTAATTTTTGGGGGGATTTTAACTATTTACTGGGAATGGGGGGAAAATGTTTAATTTTTGAGGGTAATGTCTTAAACTAGATACGATTTGTGATCTTTTGACGTATCGTTGAGAAAAATCGGTCCAATGAGAGCTGAGAAAAAGTAATGACAGACACAAAAAAAACACATCATGGTAAAATTAATATCTTCTTAGCTTCTCATCAAAGCTAAAATATAATTAAAAATTATTATTGTAGTCAAGAAATATATATTTTTAATAGTTACCATCCGGAAATACTTCCTTGATTATTCCGTCTGTGTGATTTAGTGCCCACTCATTTAAATAAACTCTCGCTTTATTGGGATCTGTTTGGAAATTCAATTTTTCTACGGTTGAACTAAGAAAGTTTTTTGCATTTTCAACATAGCTTTTGTTCACATCAAACGAATTTTCTATGAATGTACCAGTCACCAATTTTAACCCTTCATTTTGCTATATAAAATAGTTATCTGTTTTATATATTTCTAAAAATTAACTTTTTGATTTTCTTACTTTAAGGGATGATAATAAGGTTTTATACGCTGGAAGCATTTCTGACCAATCGACTGATGGTAAACGAATTGTACTTCTAATTTCTTCATAAGTGTTTCTTCTTGATCCGATGCTTGCAAGAAAAAGAACAACTTGTATACTAAATGGCGAAAAAAATAAATTTCCATCCATCTTGCGAAATTCCTTATAAAAATATTTAATTTTAAAAATAGTTTATGTAAAATATCGATTTCTTACTACAAGCAAGAAATACAAGAAATCACATACAAGTGATTTTCAAAAAAATTTGTTTAATATTATTTGTATAAAATAATTTGAATAGTTAATCTTATTTTTTTTATGAGAAGTTATTAAATTAAACTGAGTTTCATTCATAGTTTTTTCAAAGATAAAAATATTTGCACTTTAATCAGTGATGTACTCAGGATATATCAAAGGAATACACCTGACTTATATAACCTTTCCTCAATATAACATTATTTTAAGTAATAAAATTAATTATACATCTAGTTGAAGAGTTTGAATTGCATTATAATTTTTGATGTCTATTTATTTAAATATAAACGTTTTTTTTTTTTTTTTACATAATTTGTAAATTAAAAAATTTTATATTTCCACTATAAGAGAACCCCGTCTAATATGGGATAGTTTTTTAATAGTTAATTTTAGATATATCAAAGTTTTTCTTAGGATTTTTTATATTATTACATATAAAAATGTTTTTTTGTAGTACATTTTTATGTTTATGTAAAAATTCTTTATGTAATAATATGTTCCTACGATTAATATAGTGGTAGTCCTGTAGCATGAAATAATCTAGAATCTTCGTGACGGATAGGCAACATAAAATACATATACGCATAAAGTTTTTCGAACATTCTTAGAGGAAATTTCTAGAATATCTATGGTACAATATATAGCAGAGCGACAAGACCGCAATTAACAATTAATAATTAACAGTTAGAGCATAGTGCACATAGTGTGACATACGTATATTATATGCAATTTGTTAAGTGAATATAAAATAAATATTCTGTCATTTTTCGTTGACATAAAATCGGTGTTATTGTAATTTTCATTAATAACCGAAAAACTTAAGTCCTGACAACTTTTTTTAATATTAATATTTATATCTACTAAATTATAAAGTATCACTTGTTATAAAAAATAAGTATTCAATAATATAAAAAAAATAACATTTTAAACTAGATTTAAACAAAAAAAAAGACATTTTTTAGGAACTATATAAAGCACAGTTTTGTTAAAAAATAAAAAAAAAAGCGATGATTATTTTCTATATTTTTAATTAGTATATTAAACTGATTTTTAAATTATTTAGTCATAATTTATTTCTTTAAAATGTAATTTTTTAGTATGTTATGTTACGAAATAACATACATTTTCTGAACAATGTTAGGAATATTATTGTGACCAATATTAGAATAATTTGAAATTTTGTAATAAATGAAAATTACAGATTTTTATTTCTTTTATATATTATATATATTCTTTTAACAGTACATATATTTTTACATTTATAATACATTTTAATTTTTCTTTACAGAAATATTTTACATTATTTTCATTTTTTTTACTAGAAGTTTTTAGAATTACTTTGCTGTATATATAGTCATTATTTTATTTTCCACTTCTATTGATTATATTTTATTTATATTATATTTCATATCAAATGACCTTTTTGTGATAATCCCTGGCTAAAAACTATATTACTTTCTTTTAATTTTGTGATGATAAAAAAAAGTGATTAATATTAAACACTTACTTCATACAATGAATTGGTAAAATTGTCTATAGCTATATGAAGAAAAGTATCTGAAAAATTAGCGGATAACTCCATGTTTCTTCGGTTCAATTAAGAATACACAAGCAACACTGTTTTAGAACTTTTTTTTAGTACTTGTTTGATATTCTTATTGAAGTTTATTTTCTCATAGTTAATAAATAATTAATAAACAATTACAATTTTATTTTTTTTAAGTTAATGGTAGTGAATAGACCTTAAGTTAATAAAACATTTATTTAAGAAATATCCGACTATTAAATACAAGTTAACATATTATTAACATCAACGGTTTATGGAGTTATATCAAGTGAACAAAGTCCCAAACATTTGTCAGTAAATTTAGTTAATTCCTCATTAGTTGATAAAAATAGAATATGATTTGTTCAATGTTTACATCTTACATTCTATTCCAATATATTAATTTTTTATTATCAACGTTAGTAAATATAGAGGGTAGAATCATATTTGAAGAGAACAATAATGGAGACGGTCAAATATAATCTATTAATTTAAACATTGATTATATTTTAATACAAACATTCATAAATAATAAACATTAAACATGCAGACAATATTTAAAAATGACACTGCGCAGTAATATAAAATGGTTGATATGGTGTACTATAACAACCTATACAGCGTGTTCAGTAAGTCAGGAAACGGGTTTCTATTGTTCTCATTGTTACAAACAATGAGAACAATAGAAACCCGTTTCCTGACTTACTGAACACCCTGTATGATAAGGGTCATGTGAGTATATATACACATGGATCTTCCTTGTAATTAGCTAGTAGAATGAAAATAATGTTAATTTAAATTATTGGAATGAGATGGCTTTATTTAATAGAATACCCTTATTTTTAATGCGACCATAATTAAGGGTTTTTTTACCTCTACAATGTTAATTCACACTTTAAGTTGAAACAGTGTACATATTGCTATGTTTAAACTTCCCTTTAATAATTTGTTCATTTTTACTACACCACTCAATTTTAATTCAATACAGGAAGATTCATTTATCATAAACCACTTAATTAGTCAAAAAATAAAAATAAAATTGAGAATTTTCTATTGGTATCTTCATTTACATGTTTTTTTAATTTATCAATCATGTATCATTTTAGCTTCGATGCAATGTTGGAATGTATTAGTTTTGTAATGGTATATGTTTTTTATATGTCTGTTCATGAAAATTCTAGGATCTCACTGGACCAATTTAAATAATCAATACTTTAAAAGAATCCTTAAAACTATTTATCTAGTTACACCTATCAGCACCAATAATTAGAAAAAACCCTTTTAATTTTAGAAATTTAAAAAAAGTATCTCAAAATTACATTACTATAAAAATGGCATTTTCAAAATTATTTTTCTGCATTTTGAAACTGATATTATTATTTTTTTAAATACTGCTCCAGATTAAATTTTGATAAAGTATACTAGAGACAATAAGTTATATTTTAGTATAATATTTGTAAAAAACCGATGAGAAACCTAGTTATAGTAACCTTTATAAGTAACCACCCACGCAAGTAAAATTTTTTTTAAAATAATTATAACAATTATAAATATAACAAAAACAATTATAATTAATGTAACTAAACTTTTAACCAATATCAAATTAAAGCTTTTAATTGTATTACAATATTAAAGGAAAAATTTTCCCGGCTATTGTTTTACTATGAAAAATAAAGAAAATATGCAATTTTTACAAAAAAATAAAAATAAAAAATAGGTTATTTTTAATGAAGTAAATAATTCATCGAACTTCTTATATTTGAGTGAAATTATAAAATTACGAATACACAAGTTGTAAAACTTAACTATTACGCGTCTCGACGCTAAGATCCCACTGAACTGGTTTTTTTAATTATTTAAATAATTAATAATTATTTTGAATTTTTTTTATAGAAATATAAAGTTCAAATTTAAAATAAAAATTTGGTAATTATTACAAAAAAATGTGTGTTAGTTCATACATTTTGTAACAAATTATAGAAATTCTAACCAAACGTCAATTCCGAGTTATCTGTTTTCTTTTAGGAAAAATTACGTTTAAGAATATGCAATAGTGTATTTTAATGTAAATACAATGTTTTAACTAAATGGAAAATAACTGAACAATGTCATTAAAAAAATCAATGGTAGAATCTTCAAACTCTAAAAACTAAAAAATATATTATTTTATATACTACACTAACATCATGATGGCTATATACTAGAATTGCGGTTTAAATTTTATCTTCCAAATATAAAGACCCTAAAATTAATATTACTCAGAGAGGGCAAGCTGCTGGGAGTTAATAGATTTTATATACATATAAATAAGTTTCAAGAATTTATATCTATACAGTTTTAAACAACATTTGTACCCATAATGTACACTAAATAATTTCTTTTTTTAACCTTTGTTTTTTGTTCAAAACTTTACGTTGTAAACAATAAATAAATTTATAAATTTTCTTGGTATCCATGAAAATAATGTGTAATAACCTTAGAAAAAATGTTCTTAATTATTTTAAACATACAAACATATGGGAATTTTTTTTTAAGTTTACATACAATTAAACCTAAAAGAAGTTATATAAAAACTCACTTACTGAACCACTCTGTATATTACACTGGTTAAACTAAATAGCTACCTAGTTTATTTGTTTCTAATATGTCATAGTTTAAAAAAAACTAATCGCATATTCAACAATAAATACATGCTTGAAAATCATTTATTTTCCGTTATTTCCAGAAAGCTTAATTATTTATAGAACATTTTCTTTAATTTTCGTAATTATAACGTTTATCGGAAATTTTATCTAAGTACTGATTGGATGCCATTGCAATAGAACTGTCACTGCCATTTCTATTTCGCGCTTGTTTTGTTGATCCACGACATTTAGCAATAAACTTAAATTCTTCCATGAACTCATTTTTAAATGATACCTAAACAATTAGTTTTAAATTATTATAAAAAAGCTAGTATCATTAGTTCACTATATAAATTGAATTTGTGAATCTAGTAAAGATTAATAAATTAATCATAACAAAAAATACCTATGAGTTCCTTATGTTTAATTAAAGAAAATTATTGCCATAATAACAATGTCATTAATACCTTTCTTTTTGCGGATGTCTTCCATAGTTTCCAAAACAATTCAAAACAAGCCAAAATAGCTGCTACTCCAACTCCGCTACATAAAACAATAAATACTCCACCTACGTTTTTCATGCTCAACTCGCTCGCTTCGTTGCTTTGGACATTATCCTGAAATACAACTCAATTACTACCATGTACTTTATAAATTTTTAACAATTATTTTGATTTGTTAAATAATATACATAAAAATCAAAACTGATCGAACCTGACAAGATCCACCACCACGTTTTTCTTTCCACCATTTATTTTTAAGAGCTGTGATTTTTCCCTTCTCTTGTAAACTTAAAATATTCGCACTTAAAATATTTCGATAAGTTGCATCTAAAATTTCATTAAAAATCAATATAATCGTTCAATTTATTAACAAAAATTTTATTTTCCCAAATAAGTAAGTTATCATCTCATATTTATTTTAGTATTTTCTGAAAAATGTTGAAAACTAATTATTTTTACAAATATTTATATTATTTAACCATTATTTTTTTACAATGACTTTAGAAAAAAAAATTATTTTACGCGTTATTAGTCTAATATATTTTAACCAACAATCAGGACCGTATTCTATATTTTATAATAAAAAAAAATGTATAATAATATTTAATATCCTTATTTTTTCTAAATTAAAACAAATGAATTAGTTTTTTAGTTAACAAATTTCATTCTTTTTCCAATAAACTTTTTGTTTTATGTGTAGAGTATTCATAAATTTTTGTACTTTATCGTTATTTTATTTATTTATCATTAATACTATTATAAATTAAGATAAAAAAATATATCAATACTACTCCATTATATTTTGTAAAAACATTAATTACGTATTTTTTGAATATTACATTTATAAATATACATATTTTTAAAAGAGGTCAAATGTTAACTTACTCTTTCTCATTACTATCCCGTAGTCCTTGTTATCTAAAAGACCACCAATCTGAGCTAACTTACATTTACGTTCAACTTCATATCTTTATATTCAGACATCAACAAAATATTAAATTAATAATAAATCGTATTCTTTTTTTTATACTTAAAATTACTCAATAGATGTGGACTCCATGAAATATGCATAATTATTATTCATTACTCTGTCAACACCCTCATCGTTATTACTAGTACATAATGTACTTTCTTGTTGCATTATATTGTTATATATTTTCTGATAAACTGGATCTTTAGAATCCTGTAAAACAATACTTTTTAGAAAAATTCGTAGAAAATTGATGGTTTAAGTTTCATTTTAAAGTTTTTTTAAATTATTAAATAATTTATACCATCTTTCAGACAGTCACATTAATCAAAATAAAGAAATTTGATTTTTGTGTAATTCTAATAAAATGCGATATGTTAATCTTATGAACAATATATAGATTTGATAGATATTAATTCAATACTTTAAAAAAATCTTTAGTCGATCCTTGCATTTTACATCCATATTGAATGATATTTTGATTAGCTAATTCATTAACATTTTTGAAGGGTTCCGATGGATTTTCTACTGTTAAAAAAGCTGCTAAATTGGCAGTATAAGATGAAACCATAATAAGAGTAAAGAACCACCACATTCCCGCGACGAGCCTAGTTGAAACAGCGCTAAAAATCGTTAATAATTGTTATAATATAACTTTAATGAATCTTAAAAATAATCACAATGCATTGTTAAAAATTACATTGGAGCTATGTCAGAACCTTGCTGCATGAGTGATCCAATTGTGAACCAAAATGCATTAGAGAGACTGAACTGATTTTCCAAATACTCTGGCTCTTCTATGCAAGGATAAGGATTAGTCCACTCATATGGACTTATCCTAGCCATTATAAATAATAGTATAGAAACACCACAATATGCTGTTATCACCCAGAGCCACACAAAAGAACTAAATGGATCCAAAAATGAAAACAGATTGGGTGGACTCTTTGTTGATTTTTTATAAAGTATACTAATACCTGAAAATAAAATAACTAATTTAAATCTGCATAACAATTTCATAAATTTAGAATTTTCAACGCTTATTCTATAATCTAGTACTGCTTTTAACAATTATTTCTTTAAAATGCATTTGTACCTAAATTCATAAATGGACTGGTAAAATCGACATCATGTTCTCGTTGTCTAGTTATAGTAATATCAGCTATTGCAAGATCTGCGTTCTAAATTTTACAAAATATTTTTAAATTATATATATTTTTTCGAGATTTTAGTTCAACATTCAAATTATACTCATAATTTGTATTTGAGATTTTTACAATCGTTTCTTTATACTTACTCCATCAATAACTTGTCCTATCATTCCATTCCATTTTCCATTTTCTTTTTTTCCACTGTTACTGTCTTCCTGTATTTTGAATGTATAATTAAAACCACTCATTTCACTTAGTTCTTTAATCAAGTCGATACCGAATCCTTCGTACTGATCGTTACCTTCAAGTTTGCTACTAGATAATTTGACCATACAATAAGGCTTGGTCTGTTAATATTATAAATTTATTTTTACTTGAGATTAAAAACAATGAATATTAATTTAGAAGGTAGTAAATTTATTTACCAAAGCAGTAATAACAACAAAAGTCATGTTGCGAAGATCTTCTTTCCCCGATTGAACGGCTTGTGGTGAAGTGGTTACCGAAATATTAACACCAGTTTTAGTACTCCAAGTACCGGTAACTCGTAAACCATTTTGCGTCAAGTCAACCAATTCCAAATCAATATCTGATCGAAATCCTTCCTGGTCAAACTTAATTTTTCCAGTTAAACCTTTAAAATCTTTCTGAAATTGATATTAATTAAGATATAAACATTAGTCATATTCGATAGATAAATTAATTTTATGATACTTACAATCATCTTCATATGATTAATTAAAGTGAAACCATGTTTCCATGATATGCTAGAATTGCATGGTGTAATATCTTGACTGATCTCAAAATCTTTGCTTAAATTGTAAATAGAACCACTAAAAAGTTGAACTGCGTCATATATTAATGCAGAATCCAGCTGAAAAAGATTAATTAGTACATAGGTAAAACTTAATCATTCTTGTAATTGCTTGATCCTTTCTTACTAGTACTCTTTCAGAGTCTATTGTAGTGTCATCTGGTTCAAATGGACTCATATAATCTGACCATTGAGCTATGGCATTTTTAAAATCATCTTCATAAGGTTTCACAAGTCGCATACCAGTTATATTAGTTCCACTATATTTAAATGGTTCTAAATCTAACACATGCATATCCTAAAGAATATATTTCTATCTCAAAAAATCATGAAAATCTATACATATATTTTTTTAAATTGTTGTATTAGATGTGTAAGCTTACCAATGATGAAATTAGATAACTGTGCTCCGAACCCATGAGACCTACTTGCTGGGCTTGTATAAGAACATCCATTAATATATCAATTGTACAATCAAGCAATATTTTTGTTTCTCCAGAGTCTTTAACTTCACGAAGTTCGGATCTGTAATTACCACCTGAACTTAATTGTCGAATCCGTATAGGATGATTACTTGGTGGTGATTTTAAAATGTCGGTAATATGCATCAAACTGTCGTTGTTTTCATAAATAATTGTAAAGCTTTCCCAGCCTAGAGCAACTATTAGATCAGTAAGTGCCTAATAATAAACATAATAAAGTGCAATTAAAATTTTTTAATTATTTCTGTATTACACGATTACTTTAACCAATGTGCTCGGGTGTGGATACAAATTTATTTGGCATGATCCACGTTTTTGATTAATATCCCACCTAGTCTGAATATGTGGGATTTCCTTATAATCACATATTGATTGAACAATGGGTGCTGTATCTCCAGACGATGGACCAAACACGCCGACAACTCCAATACTCAGCATTTCACACGCTTATAAAGAAAAGTATTAAGTTTATATGAGTTATTAAGCATACTACCCTCTGTTTTTTTATATAAAAATAACTTATATTATAATTAATATAATATTTATTATAATTCACAACAAATATTTCGTTTATTTACCATAATATATAAAAATTGAATTTATAATAAAAAAAAAATAAGAAATCATTATTATTTATACACGATTAGATGAAAAATAAACTTAACTGATAAATAACTATATATAAAATGTTTATTTATTTTAACATTTCATGTTGAGTGTAGTCAGAGGGCGATGCAAATAATATTATAATCTAAAGAAATTTTTTATAGGAATAAAACATACCAACATTTTGGGCTTCAAATGAATCATAAGATGATATCTGTCGACTTTCGTGATTCAGTTGTAAATTAGAATCAGCAATTTTGCCTTTAGCTACCTCCAACGCTGACAAAAATGCTGATTCTTGCATTGTATACTCGTCAATAAATAAAACACCTAAACAACAAATTAAATATTATAAATATGCATATATAAATATAAGTAATATCATTATTTTTGACAGTGACGTAACTTGTAGGACATTATGAGTATAAACATTTTTCCTGAACAATTAAATTTTTTTCATAAGAGTTTTCTTACCTATTACCCCTATTGTTAAACCAGATTACGTTAATGTTGAGTTTCATCAATATAAATTTTATTAATTAACAAATTTAATATTCTCAATACTCTCTAAAGTTCACTACCAATAGTTAAAATTTTATTTATTTATTTTACATAATTGACACCAATCGATTTTTATGATATACAATAAATAATTTATTGTATAACAAATTAATAAAATAGACATACATATAAGTACATAAACATATACAATATGTTTATTCTAAAAATAATATGAATATTAATTCAGTTATTAATCTTAACGTTTTATTTCTACAAATATATTAACTTATTATAAATGTTTTTTTACTAATTAAATAATAGAGTTAAAATGCTGTATACGTTATAATTAACTCACCAAATGTTATATTTCCACAACTGCATCGTTTGAAAATAACAAAAAATAATATAAATAGTATATTTTTTACAATATACATTTTTTGAGTCAATATTTTTTATTTAACACAATTTAAACATTAAAAACGACAAAATAATAAAAAAATATAGAGGTTCAATAACTTCAAATAATAATTTCCGAAAAAATATTGTGAGTTAAACATTTTAGTTACTCACAACAAGGATCACTGTAATATACAATATAAATCTTTTCTGTTAATGTTTAAGCTGTTCTTGGCATCATTTTACTAAAATTATATTAATAGACATTCCGCATTTGTATATGGAGAAATAGAGTAATACGAAAGTCGTCAGTCTTTAATTACCGGAGAGAAACAAGTATTATGGTAGCACTTATTGAAAGAGTAGATAAAAAAAATTATATACAGTATGATTTTTAATCATTAATTTATAAGTTTAATTGTAAATTTGTTTATTTAATATTTTAACTGACAATAAAATATTAAAACAAATATGTAATATATTTATTAATAATTAAAGAACATTTTTAATAATTTATAATTTATATTAATTAATCTCGTGTTTAAAAACAATTACTTTAAGCTTTTTAGCTTAAAAATTGAATTTATCTTTAATAAAGTTAATTTTAGTTGAGTATCCTTAATAGGGCAACCAGGAAAGGGGGCTAATAATTTTAACCCTCTAACCCACCATAATACTTTATGAAAATGATTAAATCATGATATTAACTAAGCAAAATAATTGTGTAACCATCGAATAAATCGTTAATCGAATTCATAATATTCCGTTTTAGCTTCGATACGAAGCGGAGAAGGTATTGATTTTACTATGATGTGTTTTTTTTTTTTTTTTTTTTTTTTCTGTTGCCACTTTTTCTTAGCTCTCACTGGACNTTTTTTTTTTTTTTTTATGTCTGTTGCCACTTTTTCTTAGCTCTCACTGGACCGATTTCTTTCAAAAATACGTCAAAAGATCACAAATTGTATCTAGTTGAAGACATTAATTTTTGAAAATGTTCCGGATATACTGCGTCCTTTAAACAAATATCAAATTAAAGCTTATTTTATGTAATATAAAATGAAAAAAAAAATTTGTCCCGACGACCTATCTTCTATGCGCAAATGGCTACCATATTAAAAATATGCTATTTTAACAAATTTTTTTTTTTAATTAAACACTAACTACAGATTTGCATCGAAGCGTTTTTTATGATAGTGATTTTAATCACTGTTAGATATCATCTATACTGGACCCAACTATGCCACTAATCCATTGTGCCACCACCCCACTGTGCCGCCACCCCACTGTGCTGGGTTTTTTTTTAGTATTTTTTTTTTTTTTGTTGAAATTTAAATTAAATGTTATGATAAATTAATTAATTTAATCTCGTCTCTATTTGTCTAAACCGTGTAAAATTAAACCAATCGATTGTGCGAAATATTGAATTTGTTATGGTTAGTTATGTAGTTTTTTTTCATTCATTGTGCATCGCCCTGGGTCGCATTTAAGATTAGCGCATGAGGTACTCAATTCTGTTGTTATCTATAACCTTTTAATTTTGCTTAACCAAAACATTTTTTTTTTTTTTAATTTTAGCTTCGATGCAAGCTGAGAAGGTATTAATTTTACTGATGTGTTTTTTTTTTATGTCTGTTGCCACTTTTTCTCAGCTCTCACTGGATCGATTTCTTTCAACAATACGTCAAAAGATCACAAATCGTATCTAGTTGAAGACATTACTCTTAAAAATTGAAAAATTTTCCCTCGTCCCCCGCAAATGGGGGAAATATCCAAAAAAATTACAAATTTAAAAATCGGTAAATTTTGTCATTTTTTTCACTTTTTTTTCTTAAAACTTCCATAACTTTTTCAAAAATCAACAAATCAACATAATTTTTTTTTATACTAAAACCTTAGACATTTAACTTTCATTTGATATCATTTTTTTGAAAATCTATCACTTAAACTGCTTATTGGGGGGGATTTAAAATAGCAACTTTTTTACAAAAAATAACTTATTCAACTTAATTTTTAAAAATGTTTCGGAAATACTGCGTCCTTTAAACATATATCAAATTAAAGCTTATTTCATGTACTATAAAGTAAAATAAAAAATTTGTCCTGACGATCTATCTTCTATGCGCAAAACCCAACCGTATTCAAAAATATGCTATTTTAACAAATTTTTTTTTTTATAAATTAAACACTATTTACAGATTTGCATCGAAGTGTTTTTTATGATAGTGATTTTAATCACTGTCAGATATCATCTATACTGGACCCAACTATGCCACGACCCCACTGTGCCGCCACCTCACTGTGCTGGGTTTTTATTTTTATTTGAATGAGCAAAAAAATAACTTCAACCCTATAATTTATATTGATTCATATTTTAGTGCCCTCCTGGATACGTGTTCATAGTGCCCTCCCAAATTTCAATCTTGGCAGTTGGTTTGAGTTGAATTTTCTGTGCAATCACCAGTTACTGTGGGTGAATTATTCTTAAATTAATATTAGAACTAGTGTTATTACCAAAGAAAATGGTAAAGGGTAAGACAACTAAAACTATTGAAAGGGTGTGAGTCATTATCTAATTATTTAGATTTATCAAATAATTACTATCTAGAACTCCGAACCACAGTTGCCAACAAGCCTAATATTTCAATTATTCATTGTGTTATTAATATCTTAAACTTTATTTATCGTGTTTTACAAATATATTGATGTAATAGTTGTTATAATTTATTAAATTAGTTATTTTATATAAGAGCTCATTAGTACACATTATAATTATGTTATTGATCACAGGTGTTATTTACATTTTTTTTTATATATTTATCATATAAATAATTTATAATTGGATTTTATTAATATAATTTTGTGATATTTGAATTTATACTTTTAAAGTTACTTCATTAGTTTAAAAGTTAAATTTGTTACCTAACCAAATTCACCCCTTTGATTAGCGCAAGTGAACTCTCTGTTTACGGAATAATTTTGCTAGAAGATCCTTATACAACTCACATATGTGCCAGAGTAAGTGGCAGATTTATCTGCCATTTGACATTACATTTTACATTTGACATCAATATTTTCTTCGCAAATTGAATGCGCATCTACATAAATAAATAGGTAAAGTGAATTTTTTTTAATAACCTAAAGTATAAATACAAAATTGTATTTGTTTAAAATAATTAAATAAAAATTATAGTTTTTAATTGTATTTTATATAATGACGACCATGTATATAGTTATAGATCGATCTTTTAATAATATTTACAATTTTTCTTTTTCTTATTATGTTTACTTATTAATTTAAAAGATCAAATAATATTCAGTTTAAATATATTGTGCGTACTACCACCTATTTTTTCATAAACACGTATAATTTAAAATTTAATTTATTTTTATTAACCATTATAAACATTAAATTTTATTTAGAATATATACAGATATATCCATGTCTTTAGTTCTATGCTGGCATTTTTAAACTCTGCAACGAGTTTGAACATCATTTATAATCATTATCAATTATTTTAAATAATGCAACAATCCACGACAGCTTAAATACATTTATATCAAGTTTATTGTAAGAAAAAGTATTCCTAAAAGAAAGATTTTAGGGATTATTTTCGAATGTTAAAATTAGAACCTACTATTATTTTTTTATTATTAAATGGAGAATGATAAACAAAATGTTGATAGGTCAAAAACAATTATTATATTTATATTTTTATATAATCTACCTTTTAGGAATATTTTTTTCTTATAATTAACTTGATATTAACAATGGTTTAATAATATAAATTTAATTTTAATTTTTTTTTTTAATAATCCACCAATTTCTTCGAATTGAACACTATCTACAGATATGAATCGAAGCGTTTCTTATGATAGCGATTTTTAATCACTGTCAGATATCATCTAAACTTGTCCCAACTATGTCACGTCCACTCTGTATTGCGACCCCACTGTCCTTGATACGGTATTTAAGGGTTAATAATAAACGTAGCGCCGTTATGATTTGACTGCGGAGTCAATTTGTTTTATTTTAAATTATAATAATATTATTTTAATACTACAATATACAAATGACGGGTGAACCGAAAAGTGCGGATTAAACAAAATAAGGCGCTGGTAAATAACACAGCACGTGCAGCGAATATAAGTCACAAATGAACTGGTTTACATAGTCGCCGACGTGTCTCACGGTGCTGCACCCCCTGACCTGTCCTATCTACTGACCGCCGGACAAGACAAACTAGTGTTATCGTCAACACTGATGAGTGCGACGGTGGACAGCTGATAATCACGACCAGATAACGTGGTAATTCACTGTAAATGAATAGTACGCTATTACAGGTCGTGTCATCCTACAGATTTTGAAAAGTCTTATGACAATATTTTTCTGGATTAATCAAATATATAACATGAAATTATAAATAAATACTTTAACTAAACTTTTAGGGTTAATTTATCATTATTATAAAAACGACACTATTCAATCTATTGCTATACAAATTATTTTGTACGTCTTAGAAAAGTAATGAATAGATAAAAATAATTTAAATTCTATCTTATTTAGTATTATATTTCATGTTTATTTACCAAATACAGTTTCATTAGATTCATCTAGATTTATTAAATATGGATTTATTAAAATAAATAAGTATATAAAAATGTTTCTTTGAATTATTATATACTGTAAAATAAGATTAAAATGGTAATTTAAATTATCAGCTAAATATATTATATAAAAAATAATTTAAAAAAAGAATACTGATTATTAAAATTTTTCAGTTATAATTAACTTATAATATAATATACTATCAATGTTTTGAATTGGCAAAAAGTTTAGATTATTACTTTTTTATTGCATAAACATCATACTAAAAATATAAGTTTTATTATACGACTACTATAGAATTTTACTAAAAAACTGTAAAATAATGTTTGATATAGTTTTACTTATAATATATAAAATATATAAACACATTTGCTGTATTAAATAATCAATTTTTATAAATAATTATGAGTTATTTTATTTTGTTGAATTTAAAACCAATTATAAATTAAAAAAAATGAAAATTTTATCTATATTTCATTGAAATGCAAAATTCTTTTTAAAGACTTAAAATCTAGGAAATTGATTCAGCATATTTCAGGAAAAAAGTTATTAATTGTTAATATATATATATATACGAGTACATCGCACAGCATTTTTATCTAATTAAAAAATAATATTTATTTCAAACTTAATTTTTTCTCATAAAAATTTTAAAAATCATACAATAAATATTCAACGAAGTCAATACAAGGTTAATTTTTAATTATTCAGTTATGTAAAGATACACAAAATGAATAATTCATCTTATAGATAAAATATACTTATAATATATATATACAAAACAGAATACTTTAATTTGGGTGTAATTAAATCACCATATATTTTACATTTATAACATAAATATTAATTTTTATAATTTTGTTACAAAAAATGTGTATAAAAACAAATACAAATATTTACATACCTTTCAAGAATCTAAAACTAAATACTTATACTTATATAACAGTAAACAATAGAATCCATCATAACATATGATTTATCCAACGCTTGATTTGATACCTCATATATTTTTTAACTTTTGATATTTTTAATAGAAAACTTAACAATTAGACAAATTATAACATTTAATTATTTTTAATACGATCGCAAAAAACGCAAAATTCTAAATGTATATTTGAAATTCAAAACAGAATAATTCTGTTTATATAATTTAATGCTTCTTTTACATAAAAACCATACTTTTTTCTCTAGGTAGTCATTTTTTCTAGTCATATAAAAATTATACATAATTATTTTGTATTTTTCTTTAATAATTTTCAAGTTATGCCTAATATTCAAGCCTTTTAAAATTACAAACGTATACTCGAAGCGCCACTATTTCTTTGATAAGTAAATTTTTCAGAATTTTAGATATTACTCGTATCTTTGGAAAATTCTATTTTATTTCCTATACTTTGTATGATATTTTATTATCTGAAACAATATATAATAAAAAATAATAATTTAAAATATTAAAAATAAATTATATTTTTACCCTTTCTTCAACTGCTATTTTTCTAGATTTCCAAACAAATTCAAAAACAGCTACTACACAAGCTACGCCCATTCCACCCATTAAAACAACAAATACTCCACCAACATTAGCCAATCCTAACTCGTTTGCTGCGCTATTACTTTTTGATGCATCATCCTGAAATTTAATTCCACAAATCAATTTAGAGATAGTAATAAATCATTAAAAATTATATTCTTATTATTGACTCACACGGCAAGCACCTCCTCCGCGTTTCTCTTTCCACCACTTAGTTTTTAGTTTGAGCAATTTACCTTCTTCTTGTAATTTAAGAACAGCTCCACTGATTGCTGTTCTATATGGCGAGTCTATTTAAATGAAAAAAAATTAATAAAATACTTTATTTTATAATAAGCAAACTTACTTGGTGGTAAAGCAATGCCATATCCTTTAGAATCCAACAAGCTTCCAATTTGAGTAAGCTCACAATTACGTTCAATTACGTACTCAATACTGGTTGATTCCATTAAAAACGCATAGTTTCCCTTACCTTTAACGACTCTCTCGACGCCCTCATTATTCGATTCCATGAAAACACTAGGCCTTGAAGATTCCATAAATGACCACATCCTCTGATAGGTAATAAAATTGGAATCCTGTAAATCCCATCAAAAAATCACCAGATATAGAGACATATTTTGAAACAAATAATTTTAAGTTAAATTCTATACTCGGAAAAAAGCCGCAGTTGATCCACCACGCAAAGCACCATATTTTATTTTTGTCTGTTTTGCCAAGTCTTCAGCGCTTTCGATTGGAGAATCCATTCTTTCTACAGTTAAAAAAGCGGCTAAATTGGCAGTATACGAAGAAATCATGATTAATGTGAAGAACCACCACATTCCAGCCACTATTCTAGTGGAAACAGCCCTAAGATTAATATTATGAATAATATTTAAAAAAATGTTTAATAAACAAAACATTTTTAGTAAATAAGCATTAAATGAAGTTGGTTATTAACTACAAAAATGTCTAACTACATTGAGGACACGAGTAGAATGATCGGCTCTCTGAGCCGAAATATCTTTAAATCACATGCATAATTACTCACTTAGGCGCCATTTCTGATCCCTGTTGCATCAGAGAGCCGATTGTAAACCACAGAGAATTGTTCAAAGAAAATTTGTTCTCAAAAATTTCCGGGGCATCAGAGTTGCAAGGATTTGAGTTTTCCCATTCATACGGGCTAAACCTAAAAATGAAACATGCAAAATCTACAAAAGCCATTTAAACTATGTAGAGTGCCATTTAATGTATATTTTTTTGAGCATCTAATCAATCACATTCTTTTTACATATTAGTAGTACATTTGATATGATACAACAATTATTTATAATTCGCACATTCCGTGATCTAGACTAAGAACTTCTTTTATCACGTGGCCTTACTTAGGTAGTATATCACATCCCTGTTGCATCAAAGATCCAAATGCAAACCACATACAGTTCATCAGAGTAAACTGATTTTCTAGATTATCGGAGTCTGGGTTACACGAGTGTGAGTTGTACCACTCATACGGCGTAAATCTTTTTACATTAAAGTATCACGACGATTTATATGTAATTACAATTAATTAAGGTATAACTTTATAATAATTTTAATAGTTACATGTCTAACTTTATATAAATAAATTCAAATAAAAATATTTTACCTTGCTAATATATAAAGCAAAATAGACACGCCTAAATAAGCCGTTGCCATGTAAATCCAAACATCCAATGACAAAGGTGATAAAAATGAAAAAAGATTGGGTGGTTGTTTGATTGGTTTACGATACAATATACTAATGCCTAAGATAACAAATAAATTACGGAATAATTATTTAAATAATTAACTCATTATTAACAATTATTTTAATTACCTAAGTTCATAAAGGGCATAGTAAAATCAACTGCTTGTTCACGTTCATAAGTTATTGTCAAATCAGCAACGACTAAATCAGCTCTTTGAGATAACAGTTCTCCCATCATTCCATCCCATTCTTTTGTCTCTTGATTGTATGAGCCATAGCGTCCATCTGGTACAAGTTTTAGTGTATAATTGAATCCAAGCAACTTAGAAATCTCATAAATCAAATCTATAGCATAACCTTCAAATTGGTCATTTCCAACGAGTTTTTGACTAGACTCCCGTCGCATAGTGTAAGGAGAACTCTAGAAGTTAAAATTTTTAAGTAAAAACGAAATAACGAGATCATATAATCAATTAAAAGCTTACCAACATCAGAGTGACTACTAAAGTTTTATTATGTAGATTATCCACAATATTAGAGTACGCTTCCACAAAAGACCTCGTAAAATTTACACCTTGCGTAGAATTCCAAGTGCCAACTTTAATTAAGCCCTCTTTATTTACTTCAACTACATCTAATTCAAAATCAGTCCTGAAACCTTGGTTGTCAAATTTTATAACACCAGTCAAACCACTTATCTCAACCTATTTAAAATAAATAATTTGAAATAAATGTTTTAAAATTTTAATATTATGTAAAAAGTATATCTATTATTTACAATTTTCATGTAGTTTATTAAACTGTAACCATGAGGCCATGTATCAGAAGCATCACAACTCAACGGTTTTATATCAATCTTTTGACTACTATCCAAATCGTGAAGCGCTCTAGCGAACAAATGAACTGCATCATAAATCAACGCAGTTTCTGTCTAAAAAATTGATAAAATAGTATTTTTATTACAATTGCTTGAATTAAAAATTATCAATTTTATATTACTTACCGATAGTACAGTAAAGTTTTCTTTCTGAAAACATTAAATCACTAGATTAATAACAATAATCGTAATTCAATAAATTAATAATACTTATTCATAAAAAATTTTCTTTCAAAATTTACAAATTTATTATAATTTCTTTTTCTTTACCCATTGTTTCAAAACTTTTTGTATCATTGGCCTATCAGGGCTAACTAATCGAAATCCAGTTATGTTTGTACCTCCATATTTGAATTCATCCAAATCAATAGTATGTAAATCCTATAAAAAGGTTCGATTACATAAATATATTCATATATAGTAAAAATAAATATCATGATAATCGCACCAATGAAGTTATCAAATAACTATGATAGTCGCTCATCATACCAATCTGTTGAGCTTGTTTCAAAACATCGTAAATTTTTTCAGTCGAACAATCTAATATTATATGAGATTCAGCTGAATTTTTAATTTGCTTTAACAATGGCCTACAAATATAAGTAGTAAATATAAATTTTAAAAATACTATATTGGTAGGGCCAAATCTTAGATTTAAATAATAATAACTTATGATCTAATAAAAGAAATGAGAAATTAAAATTAAGAGATCACATGTATCACACATTTTATGTAATACAATAGATTAAATTTAAGATTTTAATTGATTATCAAATAGTAATCATAATTATTTTTTCAAAAAATGGACATTTTTCATTTTACTACATAAGGGTACAAAATGCAATCATCACTAAAAGTACAATTTTTTTTTTTAAACTTAATGCAAAATTCATATAAAGAGCACAAATTGCATAAAAAAATTTAAAAAAATAAAGTATATTAAAAATATATTTTTAATTCAAATAAATAAAAAAAAAAATTTTTGAAGTATAATAAAAAAGGTAACATTTAATCAATTAGTTGATAAAAAAAAAATAAGAGATATTTTTGAACATTGAATGTTTTTTGCACTAATATACTATTTTAACTAAATTAAAATTTACATTAATTCGTGTGCAAAAAGTAAGCACACAAACTGTCTTATTTGGAAGATTAATAAAATATTCACAAAAATTATATTTCTTATAGCTATAATTTTCACATCATTAAAAAAAAATCTCAAAATTTGATATCATCAAATAAAACAATTTTAAAAACTATATCATTGCAAAAATAGCGTGTACAAAAATAAATAAACTGGATTCCATTTATTAATTTTAACATAGAATATACAGAATAGACACTGATAAAAATGTATAAAAGCAATATACAGAGTGATTAATTGACCATGAATCGCTTAAACAAAAAATATAAATAATATTCAGCATTTTTTTTTTGGTTGATAACAACTTTTTGTCGAGTATTTTGGAAATTATAGACTTTTGTATACTTTGACAGGAGAAAGAAAGAGACTAAAAAATAACTATTGATAAAAATAGCAACATCGACGTATTACCTCCCGTCTCTATTTTATAATTCTAATAACTCCAAAAATACTAGTCCAAAAGTTATTATCAACCAATCATTTTCTTAATTAGATCATTTTCTATCAAATAAACTAGTTAATAATGTCCGTTACAATTCGAAAAATTAAAGTTGACACCCTTATAAGGTATGAGGGATAAACATAAAAATTACTTCATGATTCATGATACATTTTGAAAAACTTGTACCTAAATGAAACCAAATAAAAATATTATTATTAATAATATTTTTATTTTATGATTATCATCGAAAAAACTGAAAATAAGCGTTTTTTTTTTAAAAATCATCAAAAATAGCAAAAAAAAAGCATTTTCTAGCAAATGCTATAAGTCCCGAGCCCTGGTTATCACTAAAGTAAAAACGATAACATTATCTACAGAAAAATGGCTACCAATTGTTATTTACGTTAAGAAGTGATATTAATTTGACATTTTATTAAACATAATTGTATACAGACCTATGATCTCGTCCTGAGCCCAATTGTCTTATAGTAATTGGATAGGCGGACATGGCTGCATTTCTTGATTTTAAAAGCTCTTGCAACCTTACAAGCCCTTCATTGTTTTCATAAATTATTGTAAATGATTTCCATCCCCATTTTTTCACCAAATCCAAATAGGCCTGATAAAATTTTTAAAAAATATAAAATTTACTATACTGATATATTAGTTTGTTGCGAATCTGAGAATGTATTAGTTTTACTATGATGTGTATTTTATTGTATCTGTTACCACTTTTTCTCAGCTCTCATCAAACTGATTTCTTTCAACGATACGTTATAAGATCATAAATCGTATCTAGTCGAAGACATTACCCTCAAAAATTGAAAAAATTTTCTTCGTTCCCCGTAAATGGGAGAAATCTCCAAAAAAATTACAATTTTAAAAATCAGTAATTTTTTATATTTTTTTTTTCTTAAAACTACCATAACTTTTTTAAAAATGACAAAATCGATATAATTTATTTTTATAGATGCATGATGTCTTTACCTATCATTTAATTAATTTTTTTTATAAATCTGACCCTTTACCTGCCCACAAAGGGGTTTAAAATGACAACTTTTTCACAAAAAATTAATTATTTCAAATTTACTTTTAAAAGTGTTTCGTAAATACTGATACTTTTATATATATCTTAAATTAAAGCTTATGTAATATACTTTAATATGAAAAAAAAAATTCGTACTTTATTTTGTTTATATGGTGAAAACGGACATCAAACTTAATAAAAAAATACGATTTTTGTAAAATATTATTTTTTATATTTTTAACTTTATAATGCTATAAACTTTTGAACAAAGTATGGATCAATATAATTTTTTTTTATAAATACATGAATTAATTACCTATTATTTTTTTTACTTGACTATTCACCTGCCCACGGGGGGATTTTAATCACTATAAGATATCATTATACTTGACCCACGCCCCACTGTACTAGGTTTTTGAAATTTAATTCGATGTATGAATTACCTTAGAAAGAGTCGTTGGATGTGGAAAAAGATTTACTAAACAACTCTCTCGTCGAAGTTTATAATCCCAACGCGTTTCCAAATGGGGTATTTCCATTGTATCGCATATTGACTGAACATGGCTTGCTATTTGAGATGATTGCGGACCAAAAACTGCAGCTACCCCAAGTCGAAGGAGACTGCACACTGTTATAATAATAAAAGTTAAACTTTTTTATTTTTATATTTTTAAAAACAGACCATTTACCTCTTTTAGAAGCATGAAAACTATCTTGCGGGGAAACTTTTTCGATTTGTCCTGTCAAATTTGATCTACTGAATATGTGTCTGTTAGCATTTACATCTTGAATAGCATGTTTGAAAACATTCTCTTGATTTAGGTCATTTGGATGAAATAATCCTCCTTTATTAGAAAAAATAATAATTCGTCATAATTTATTTTAGTAAGATGACTAACATTTCATTTCACAACAATAAGTACTTCTTCGAAGTACAATATTTTTTTTTTATTAGTATAAATTATCTAGTGTTAAGTTTGGCTTTAATACGTAGCTAAGAAGCTATTGAATTTAATCTGCGTGTTTTTTTTATGACAGTATATACGATACTCCTCTTCGATAACACCAATATGTTCAACGATATGATAGATGTTGGTATAATATATTTAGTTGAAACTATTAGCGTCATAATTGTAAAAAAATTTACCTCAATTCTAGATATAAAGGGAAATGTCACAAAAAATTACAATTGTTATAAAACAGTTTACGGCGATACTTTTAGTTTTCACTTAATTTTGAAATAACTAATTAAAAACTAAACGGATTATTCCAAATTTTCTTTGAAAATACTTCAAATATTAGCCTTGCCAACGACATAAATCTTATTATTTACCAATGTACCTTTTACCCTATTATGAGGGTTTAAAAACTATATCAAGTGGCGTTGTTTATTTTATTTTATTTATTTATTTATTGACGCCCTTATCGGGCAATAGAGTGTACAAATTATTTAACATAAAGTATTCACAAATTTATATTAATAATAATAATACATAATGCTATAAATTTTGGCATATAGATGGCATAAATTTATAAATATTAACTATTATACAAATACAAAGACCGAAGACTAGATTCATTATCAAAGTTAAAATCAAATGAAATTTTGTTACTTTCTCTTATCATTCGACTTATGGGTTCATTATAGCTATACAATTGAGAGTGAAATGACTCATAAAAGGTAGTCGCAGAGCGTGTATTGATAGTAGGAACATACCAATTTATTTTTCCAAGAATTTCAGGACAATTTATTTTATTGTTTAATAACTTATATATGAAGGAAACATCATTAAATTTTCGTCTCGATTCGAGAGATTGTAAATTCAGTTTAGATTGTAGATCATCAACTGAAATGTTTAACCTCAACTTAAATATTACAAATTTTAAAAAATGAAGTTGTAAATTTTCTAATTTACGAATATTGCAAATTTGGTAGGGGTTCCAAATTATTGAACCATATTCAATACCTGAACGAATAAGTGAACAATATAATGTTTTTAAACATAGTATGTTTTTAAAGTCCCAGCACTGTCGTTTTACAAATCCAATGAGTCTCATAGCCTTTGAATAAATATAGGATACATGATCATTAAATGAAAGATCAGTGGAAAAAATTATACCTAAATCTTTGATGGTGGAAACTACTTTAATTAAATGATTATCTAATGAATAATTATAAATTAAGTGATTTTTACTTCTTGTAAAAGATATAGCAGCGCATTTATTAATGTTAATTTTTAATCTATTATTGATACACCAACTAGAAAAGCTAGTAAGATCTTTTTGTAGTTTAACACAATCTTGCATTGATTCAACTTCTATATACATTTTAAGATCATCAGCGAATAATGAAAATTTACAATATTTAAATATATTTTTTACATCATTAATGAATAACAAAAAAAGCCATGGAGATAAATGTCCACCTTGAGGAACTCCCGAAGTTGCAACAAAAGAGTAAGATACAATATTTGATAAGGTTACCTGTTGGGTTCTATCTGAAAGGTAGGATTTAAACCATTGAAGCAATGAGCCATTGATACCAATAACACTAAGTTTATTTATTAAAAGCTGATGGTCAACAGAATCAAATGCTTTTCTAAGATCAGTATAGATAGCATCAACTTGTTTCCTTTTTTCAACAATACTTAGGATTTCATTGTAATACACTAATAAATTAGTACAGGTCGATTTCCTCTGTGAAAGCCGTTTAGCAGATTCTTTGCAGCTCATCACCGCTTCGGCGAATGCCTGGATGGGAGATCTTACTCTCTATTATTAGATCCACCATAGACCCGACTCGGAATGTGGACCCTAGTTTAGACTTCGAAGAATATCGCTCCTGGGTCCACGCCAGACGAGGGGTGTAGGGCGTGTCAGCATCTCCCATGCGATCCAAATAGTTATCGTACGTCGGCGCAACTGATTTAAAAATACTGCGAAGGTACTCGTTAAAGCAATCATAGCCGGTCATCACCTACGTGAGACGGTAAATCATCTCACCATGTGTACGGTCCATCCACCTCGCCAAACGGTCGGATCCGATGAGGGACCTGGCCCACTCCCCTCTCGTTTTTTTTGAGAGGTTAGCTTGCCACCAGACCATTGAGAGATAGCCGGTCCTAGGAATTGAAGGACCTGCCGCGTTCCCGGCGACCCATTCTTCAACCAACAAGTGCGCAGTAGTGATGACAAAATGCCGCCGCCATTCCGGATACCGTTCGGTTCAGAATGCCGCAAGATTCTACACCCTGAACAGGGATTTCTTGTTTTTGGGCGAATACTCAAGATTATCTGCCCAAATTATGGACCTGTACAAAAAGACTGATTCTACGATGCTGACCAAGAACCTCGTCGCATCTCCCTTAGCCCCTTCAAATTAGGTATGAATCCTACCAGACTGTTCATGATCTTCTAGGCTTGTTAGGACGCACGAACGATGTACGATCCGATCATCAGACGTTTGTCGATGATGAGCCCTAAATAGGTCATGAAGTCCTCTAGCGGGATCTCCGTCCCCAACTTAGTAATCCGTAGAGAATAGAATTTGTATACTACTTGAAACCTCCATTAAATTAGACCTAATAACTAATGAAACCTAACGAAAAAAGAAAAACTATATAAAAGCTTTATTTATATGAATTCAAACCGTTCTGACAACGATTTCTTTTAACTGCGTCATACTTTTTATATAGAAATAATACATACACTTTATTATTTCTAATATTTAATTATAAAATAAAAGCAATTTAAATAGTAAATTAGTCAATAATAAGTTATAAATTATTCATTTAAATAAAATTGTAATTATTTTAATTTTTTTTACTAACCGACTCTGATAATATCCGGTAATGCAAGCACCTGACTAGTACACAAACATAATAACCAAAAATTTGACGTCATGGCTCGATCGGTTTATCCAGTAGATAATAAATAAAAAAAACGCGTCATTAAATTAGCTACCAAATATACACAGACAACAATATCTCACAAGCTTTAAATGCCTACTAAGAGGGATGAAGTTTTGAATTTCGCGTTTTGATCGTGTTTTGTGGAATCACTTGCGCCAACTCGGAAATTCGGAGTCTGTGCAAAACACTAGTTACAAATCGTTCGTGTCACGATAAAAAAAAATTAAAAATTATACGTCATAATTTAAAGGGTAAAACACTCAATCACAACCGATAAATAATTTCCATATACACTTTTCTTTTTTATCTAGAATCTATATTTTTTATTACCCTACATTTTTACTTGAATAATTTTTAAATATTCACAAAAAAATATACAGTAATATCTTTTATATAATTTTTAAGTTCATAAAGCTTTAATATAGCAATTTTAATTTTAATTTTTAAATAGATGGCAAAAATACTAGCTAATTACATTTTTAGAGAAATTGTAAGCAGTTTTTCTTTTTTTTAACAGAAGTAGTTGGATGCGGTTGCTATTAGCAACGCTATATAGTCTTCGGCCGTCGCTGGATTATAATCGATCCGGGAACTGAATACACTGTACGAAATAGAGAAAGCCATGTTTATATGTATGTAAAAGAACTATGTTCAACTTTAATAAATAAATATTATATAATATATAATATTTTAGATTATATATATTATATATAACCAATAGTGAAAATTTTAATAAACAGATAAAAATAAAGAAATAGATAAAAATTGATTAAGTTAAATGTTTGAAGTAAAATTTTTCTTTTTTAGAATGTGCAAAAGTAATTTTTTTAATTATATATTTTTTGAAAAGTTAATGATTTTATACAATAATTACTTTTTTTTATATTATCTAAATAGTAAGAAAAGTGATCTTGAGTGACCATTAGGTTTGATATAAAAAGCTCAAATTTAGACGGATGCCTTCTTTTTGTGTTTTTGGTAAAACAAAAAAAAATTCTTTTTTGTTTTTCAATCTTTTTTTTTTTGGTTATTCTATTATATATACTAGTGACAATTAATTAAAATTATAATTCGATTTATGAGGCACATGTCTATGGCTATTTTCAAAATTTGATGTGCCACTTAGAAATTTTAGGCTGTCATTACTATTAATAAACATATATATAAAATTAGATAAAATCAATGATAATATCATAAAAATAACAAATTTAATCTAGATAAATTAAACCTTTAAATTATAAAAAAAATATTAAATTGCTAAATACATAAATGTATTTAGCGAGTGATCTGTTTAAATTACGAAGACATTGAAAAAAATTAAATTTCTTTTTAACTATAATATGTATATACTCTAAGCAGCATTACATATTTTTCAATATACAATAAGGATAAACAGTGCCGGGAGCAAACGTCAGGGCAAACAGGGCACTTGCCCCGGGCCCCGCGGTTGGCTTAGTTTAATTTGTCTTTAGCCTATCTAATTTTTGTCGGTTGAGCAAAAAAAAAAAGGTCTTTAAAAAATTTTAACCCAGAAATAGAGATAACTACTGGGGCTCCCTCACGACTAACTTGCCCAAAACTTTGCGCCAGCACTGAGGATAAAGTAACTTATTTCTTATCGTTCTAAAAAGAGTACACTATTACAAATATATTACATTTATTTTAGCTATATAAATAAATTAACATATTAAGTACAAGCACACTAATTAATTTTGATTTTAATTCTAGCGATAATCTGGAGTACAAAATAGGTAAGTGATATTTTTGAAAAAATTAAATAAATAACTTAGTGTTAAATAAATAAACACATTTAAATAAACTGAACACATTTTTTTACGCTAATAATAAATAAAAATTCTAAAATAAATAAAATAATTCTAATAATTTTATAAAATTTCAAAATGTTCAGTTAAAAAAAATTCTTAAGTAATACAATTTTTGAAATAAAGTTAATCTAAATAAGCACAAAAAGTGACCTTACTTAATTTATGTACTAGATTATGTATATAAAGTCGTTAAAAATATTTCTGCTTACTATTCAAATTGCTCGTCATAGGTAATAGACCCACACAAAATTCTCACCTAAAAGTTACCTTATTACAGAAAAATTTATGAACAGCAAAAATCGTAGTTTTTAAATATTTTTCAATAGTTTTTTGTCCGTTATAGTCTGATGTTATGAAATTATTATCATTATCTTAGATTTAAAATTTTTTAAAAATTAACTTATGTTATATTTATTTTTGAGGTTACATTGCACTAGATCTCAAGATTTTAAGATTTTTTGAAGGCCTTATATTTTTTGCATGTTTAAAAAACTATAAATCATGCCATGACTTTTTTCTTTTAAAAATAATAACATTTTAGTTTTGACATGAAGTAGGGAGGTATTAATTTTACTATACTACGTTTTTACAAAGATGATAATTAACTAGTTAAAAAGTTAAATTTTAAACACTTTTTAATTTAAATTTTTTAATTTATCGTTAAAACAACTTTTTTTAGTTAATTAGATAATAACTATCAGGCAAATATCAATAATTTTAAACAAATTTTTAGTTGTAACCATGGTCTTAAATAAAAATAATACTAAAATCTGTGATTTACAATTAATCTGTATTTTTCTCGATTAAAAACTATCATACTAAGATAGAATAGCATAAAATATACACAACACAAATATAATATATCAATTATTCACATAGTAATATTAATGTGATATTTTAAATCAATGTTATGTTTATTACGAGATAAAATTAATTATTATTAAGGCCACTCACCTGCTTTCAGATTTGAGAATAATTCTCAAATAGCTTAAATAGAGTGTTGAGTGTCAGTGTACACTAATATATACAGTAGATTATTATGATTAAATGTATTTTAATTAATTATCATGGTTATTTGGATACAGCTGAACTAAATTAACTTTTCCTTTATTCAAAAGAATAATTTTATTTAACAATAATTATAATTTTTTGGATTTTTTCAAGGGAGGGCAGGGAGTGAATTTTTAACTTGTGGGTTTAGTCCACAAGCTGTAGTAGTGTAGTTCAAAAATTAGGAAATCGAAAGGAAAAAATATCACCCATAATGAGATACTTAAACTAATTAAAAAATTAAATGAACTTCTTTTTTAACTGAATTAAGTTTGTTGCTTTTATATTTAAATTAATTAGTTAAATTTATAATTTGTTAACTTTTAACGTGTCAGCATTGTTCCTATTTAACTTGAGTTACCTAATTATTTTAAATTATACTACCAATCTTTGTATTTTTATACATTTTTTTAACGCGTGTCGCTTTGTATGGTTAGCTTTAGTTTAATATATCGATCAGTGGATCTAAACTTAATAAATATTTATTTTAATGAATTTTCTTCAAAAGTTGAAAAAAATTATTTTAAATCCAAATAATTGAGAGTGATACAGCCAAAATTTTTTTTAGAGGCCTCAAATTTTAACTTGCACCCTGGCCTCTTAAACATAGATCCAGAACTGACGACTAGGGCAATGCCGTTGCGTATACAAAAACTAGTCAATTAGTAAGACCTCGCGATTTTTGGGATCATCACGTAAAAAAATGTAGTCATTTGATTTGATAATATTTCTCGTACCCTATAAATCATTGCAACAGCACTGGACTAGGGTAAACTATCTTTCACGATAGTATACTAAGTTCTAACCTAAACCCAAGCACTCCACTCTAATTTTACCTAATATGACACAGAAAATATCACTACTAATTTTACTTTCAAAAGAGTCTTTAGACAGTTGGAATAATAGCATAAAAACACGTAAACACATGATTGATAAAATATATAGACAATGACCTGAAAACATTATTTAGAACACTTTCTTCGGACTTGATTCTATAAAAAAATAGGTCATGGAACAATTAATTTTGCTAATACAATCTCTGGTCAATTATTAAAATACTTCAACGCATTAACATTAATAAAAATAACAAAATTATTAAACAATAGATTTGTATAATTAAATTGTTCAGATAAAATAAAAATCTAAAACACAATTTTTTGCTAATTATCAAGAAATTCTATGTAAATAATATTTTAAAATACCTTTACAATTAATCAAAGATTAAAATATTCAGAGTAATAATTTTTGTCTTTGTACTTCATAGAAAATAAAGTTTCTTGATTAATAATAATGTTAATTCTTAATAAAAATATTTATTTATTTGAATAAACGCCCGGTAGGCTCAAGTACAGGTTAACATAGTTTACATAATAAGTAATATACAAAATAATTGCGATCATAATATTTAGGGGAGGTACATATGATTAATAATGCAATAAATATACGAATAAAATTAATATTATTTGGACAGATTAATAATTTAAATAATAACGTTTTAGATTTGATAGATTATCAAAAAAGAAATCAAAGTTCGGTAAATTACCTAATGTTAAAATTCTATTAAGTGAATTATTTTTACATTAGTTTGTGCGGTATAATTTAATATGGAAAGTATGGCATGACCGTGTATTATATTGTGGTACGTGTAATGATACACGATCTAAGAGAGGAGGGCAGGAGATGATACCATTAATTAGTTTAAATAAGAAAGATGTGTATAACATATTACGACATAATAATATAATAAGATCAAAGAAATATATTAAGAGATCAAATTTGCCAAATATTAGATACTAAACAAATTTTTAATAATGAATTAATGAACATTTAAGTGACGTGTTTTCTCACGTTACATGTTGTTCTATCTGATTTAAACGATGGTCTTTCAAAATTTCTACTAAATGTCTGCCTAAAATTAAATTTTGAAGGGGCTAGAATAATTCTTAGCAAAGTGACTATTAGGGACATCACTGTATGATTTATAACGCCATCTGTTGGATGAATATTTTTAAATTAAAGTATAATAGATAACAACACTGATAAAAAAAGTTAACCAAAATAAATAACGGTTGCTTTAAGATTTGGAATAATGCTTCAATCTTTTCTATTCCCCCTAATCCCTCCCGACGGAACTATTTTATTTTATGCAAATTAGGACTCAAAATGTCTCATGACATTTTAACATTTACACATATTTAATACAATTTAACATTATTGAAAACCTAAGTACCAAATATTTTGAATATTTTACCAAATAAAATGTTGATGTAAAATCAATATCTATAAATAATAATATTATTTAGTAAAGCAAATATTACTCAAACATTGGTAATACCCTTTGCTTTTGAATTGTAACCTTGAGTAATAGCACTTTGATCAAAAAAACTAACTATGGAATTATTTACTTTTAGGTTTCTTACATACTTATATTTTATATAACAAAAAAAGAAACATATAGTAGTAATATTTAAATTACTACTATTAGAAAAGATTAGATGGAATTTCATTGGAATATAAAAATATATATGAAATACTATATTTATATTTGACCCTTGTTCAAATATAAAGATAAGATAGTATTCTTGTTTTGTAGACAAGTTTATAATCAGTGTTCATTCAGAGCTACACATTCACTAGCTATTTTTAATACTAACTTATTTATTAAAAACATCAAGCAAAAATGAAAGCTCTATTTTACACTTCAATTTTTTGTATGTTTGTGAACATTTTTAGCCTACTGCAGTGTAGAGATCCAAATGGTCAATCAGTAGATTGGTGAGATGACAATTAATTTCATTAAAAATAAAATATTAATGAAAATAAAAATGAAAGGTTTGCAGCAATAAAAACACCTATGCTTTCAAATAACTTATCCGATGGCACAAAATACATTTATATGGATTCAAACAACCCCAGTTGGTCATACCATAATGATATAATAACAGAAAATTCTGCGATTGGTCATAGTGTCTCTCAAATGTATGCAACTTCAAAGATGCAAAATGATGTAAACATTTTTAACAATTTTAGATAATAAAAATATTTTCATAGTTTTGTCATAAAGTAAATATATAATTTAATTTGTTTATAATTATTAGACTTTAATGTGGTTAGTTTATAATGATGAACCAACAAATGGACCAACGTCTGAAATATTGGGACATACAAAAGGAATCGTAGTAGGCAATAAAGACTCAGGTTATTGGCTAGTACATAGTGTTCCTAAATTTCCACAATTACCTTATCAGAATAATTCATATACTTATCCTAAAACTGGAATAAGATATGGTCAAAGTTTTCTATGTCTATCTATGCAGCCTCAAGATCTAAATAATGTTGGTATGTTAATAATCTATCAAAATTCAAACATCGTATTTTATTATAAATACAAACAGGTAACCAGATAATCAATAATGAAGCTTTAGTATATGGGAGTCACTTTGGAAGTCATCTTCAAAGTATATATCCTCAGTTATACAATGCTTCAATAGCACATAATGTGCCAAGCAATAATAGGGATCCAGTAAAATTAGCATACTTCAATACAATCAATGGTTTCAAGGTACTGTCTATATCAAAAAATAGACATTTTGGCAAAGGTACTTAACTGAAAATAGATTATCACTATTTATTAAGATTGAATTAAAAAAAAAACAATATAAGTTATCATAAATTTTAATAATATTTACTGAAAAAATAACTTAATTAAGGTATAAAAAATGTATAAAAATAGTATTTACAATAATAATAAAAAAATGAATTAGTGTAGTTAAAAATGACACTAACATAAAATTGATTTACAATGTCACAGATTTATATGAAGATTTGGTAACCAATATTGCACATTCAAATCTTTACACAGAAACATGGTTAAACTCAAAAGACAGATTTAACTCATCGTGTTCCAATAAATTTAAGTAAATGAAATTTAGAAAAAATTAATAGAACTATTAGTATAACAAATTTTTTTTTTTTTTTTTTGAAGAACAATGAATATTAAATCAATAGTCATGCAGAATATTAAAGGTATAAAAATATGGTACAAATCATCAAAAGATCACTCAAAATGGGCAATTAGTGAAAACAGTTCGAATTCATTAACTTGCATAGGTGATATTAATAGAGCAGTAAGTTTATATTGACATATAATAATTTTTTGTTAGCAAAAATAGTAAAACAAACTACTTTTATTTAAATTTTTATATTATTAATAATTTTAATTTCTTTATTTTTTTAAGCATGATCAAACTCAACGTGGAGGCGGTACAGTGTGTATAGATTCATTGAGTATTTGGAAACAATTTCAGAAACTTATACTAGACATAGAGAAATGTAATGATTAATTACTCACTCCCACTATTATTATAATTTTTTTTCCTTTATTCTACCAATTTAGTATTCTATTGTAATACATTTTGTTTTTAAATACTCATTCAATGCTTCTTCGCCTAAAAAATTGATAAATTTTAAAATGATATATGTGTTAATAATAAAAAGATGTAAAATTTACCTAAATCTTTGCCAAAACCAGATCTCTTAAAACCTCCAAATGGAGCTGCGACATCTGTTTTATTATAAGTGTTGATAAATACAGTACCCGCATCAATTTTTTCAGCAAATTTCAATGCTTTACTAATGTCTTTTGTGAACACACCAGAAGATAACCCATATTCAGTAGCATTGGCTCTTTTAATTACAGCATTTAGATCACTAAAAAATAACATTATAATGTACTTACAATGCTCTTTGGCTCAAGACAGTACATTATATAATTAAATAGTTTTAAACATAATGAATAAAAATTAATAATTATACAGTAAAGTAATTAAAAATAGGGTACAAAAATAATAAATTATCATAAAAATGACTACATAACTACTAATCATAGATAAATATGTCTTCTATCTAAAAAAGTTTTAATTTTAATATGTTGTTTGGTGTAGTGTAATATGAAATGATTTAGTATTTAAATGGGGGAGATGAAAATGAATGAGATTAATTAGTAAAAAACAAGATATATAACTATTAACATATTTATAAATAAAAGCAATATCAGTAAACTTTCTATAACTGGCATTTAAACTTAATTGGTATTTTAAAATTGTAGGTTAGTAGCTACACCAATAGTAATTATTTTATACCCAATAAATCGTAAGAATCATCTTTGAGTACACTTTAACATTTCAATTATACCAAATTGAGAGATGCTCCAAATTATTGAGGAATATTCTAATATTGGCCAAACTAAGGCACAATACAAAACTTATAAGCGAAGCTCACTTTTAAACTTTTTAGAGGTTATTATGATAAAACCCAATGTTTTTTAAATTTTTGTAAAAACATTATTAATGTGATCAGAAAAGAATAGTTTGAATTAGAAATAGTGTAAATTTTTAAGTCATTCGCAGAAAAATAAAATTTACTATAGTGGACACAGTTATATATATCACTAAGAAATGATAAAAATAACAATATAAATAAATGGTTACCTTGAGCAACACCTGACGGTAGTACAAAGAACTTATTTAACAACTGTTATTTACTTTAACTTTTAAGGTAACATGTAAACCAAGTTAATAGGAATCCAGAGATATATAAGGACTTCAGTTTCTTTATGAAGACAGAAAGGTTGACTGTATCAAAAGCCTTACTAAAATCATTGTAGACTTGGAACCTGGTTTAAACTTATAAAATTATATCAGAGTAAAACATAGCAAATTAGTCTCCTTGGATAATCTAAGTCTAAAACCATTTTGAGTATAACTAATGATGTTCTTATGACTGTAAAAAGTGTTAGCTCAATGAATTTTTCTAACAATTTGGAAAATATAGAAAGTTTTAAAATTGATTCTATAATTGACTACTTCACATTTAAAACCCATCTTATGCATTATATAAAACTATGTTTCTACTAATACGGAAATACACTAAAACTTAAAAACTAATTGAAAATGAAGCTAATGGGTAAAGTTAAAGAGTATTTACACATTTTTAAGAGAATTTCAAGCAAAACATTAGAACCCAGACAAAGATTAACCTTAAACTCATCAAGTGAAGTAATCACTTTGATCACTGGAATAGTTATGTTAGCAATGCCTATCAAATAAGATATTATAAATTTTTATTTATTCCTTTTTGAATTCAACAGAATAAGAGCCTGTTATATAACTTTTACAATTATTTTTGTAGTTTATATTTGTGTAGATTATATAGCATTAAAACAACTGCCGGTATTAGAAGGTCAATCAACAAAAGTGCACAGAAAATTAAGTTGAAAAAAACACGGTATAAGACAGAACCCATAATCAGATCCCAATTCATTTTCATATAAGTTGATAATGTGACACGTAGCTGAGAAAAACACAATACTGTGACAATACTTATTAAAAAAAATTATTTTGGAGTTGCATTTCGCTTTCATGTTAGATTTTACCTTCCACTAAATCTTGAAATCGCCATAATTGGACCAAAAGATTCTTCATGAGCTATATACATATGATCTTCAACACCAGTAAATACAGTAGGTTCAAAGAAATAACCAAGCCTATTTAACTGTTTTCCGCCAATTTTTAAAATAGCACCTTCATCTTGACCTTTTTTACAAAAGTTGATTAATTTTTGTAAATGAGCTTTGTGATTTTGAGGACCATGATGGGTATCACGATCCAATGGATTTCCAATTTTCTAAAATTACATAGAATATACTAGAGCAATAATAAAATCAATTATTTTATCTTAAAAATTACTTATTATACGTACAATTTTTTTAATCTCTTCAATAACTCTTTCTACAAACTTATCATGTATGTTAGATTCAACAAATACCCTACCTGCAGCAATACAATTTTCTCCTTTATTGAAAAAAACACCACTCATGCTCTAATAAATCAAAGTTAATTTTAATTAACTATTACTGTTTAGAATTGAGTAAAACTTCAAATTACAATTTTTACAGATCTTTCTAAATCACAGTCATCAAATATAACTAATGGCGATTTCCCACCTAGCTCTAAAGAAATTTTTTTAAGATTTGATTCTGCAGCAGCTTTCATAATAGAATGGCCCGTTAATGTACTTCCAGTGAATCCTACTTTTCTAATATCTGGGTGTTCTACTATTGCTTTACCTACTTCAGAACCTGAAATCAACATTTTTTTTTTATTAATGTTACTTTTTCATATTTAAATAAAATATGAATAATAACCTAATCCTGGAAGAATATTTATTACTCCTGAAGGAAATCCAGCCTCAACAGATAATTCTGCAAACTTTAAAGAAGTTAATGGAGATAGTTCGGTTGGTTTCATTACAACTGTATTACCAGCTGCCAAACAAGCAGCCATTTTCCATGATAACATCATCAATGGATAATTCCATGGTGTAATTATGCCACATACCCTAAAAAAATTGTATATCAATAGTTTAATTTTCATGAATATTTTTATATTATTGTTATAATCATACCCAATTGGCTCTTTTTTTGTGTAAGCTAAATTTCTATTAGGTCTGGCATGAGATATAGGTAATGTTTGCCCATGGATTTTATCAGCCCAGCCAGCAAAATATCTCCAAACATCTATTGACATACCTATGTGAGTTTTAAGAGCTAGTGTATAAACTGCACCAGAATCTATTGACTCTATGGTTGCAAGTTCTTCTCTATTTTTATCAAGTAAATCAGCCACTTTATACATTAAAGCACCTCTATCTCGTGGATTCATTTCTGACCATTCACCATAAAAAGCTCTAGTAGCAGCATTAACTGCTTGATCTACATCAATTTCTGTAGCACATTGAACCTATTAAAAAGTGTAACACATCCAATTTGAAAACTCAAAACAAATTAAAAAAAAAAAACTATTTTATACTAGTGTATGTTAATTGAAAAAGAAGTTATAATAATCATTTTATACTATAGTTTTAATACTACATAACAATATATAACAAGATAATATATAAGATAAAAGGATACAAGTGAATTATATACCTAATACAAATATTTGAAAAATGACTAACTTTTGTAAAGGATTCAGCTAACAAAAATATTTAAAGTAATTTCATTAGAAACCTTGAACTATTAATCAAAATACTTCTAAAATGATAGAGAAATAAATGAACTACATTGAAAATTTAAATACATTTTTGTATTTATCACAAAAATTTTATCATATTAATTGGAATAAAATATAATAAAAACAAATCAAATTCACTAATATAGTATAAAAATTAGATATCAAAGTACATAACTACCGAACAAATAATAGATTCATCTGCAGGATTAATACAATCAATTGTTTTTCCAGATTCTGAGTTAACAAACTGGCCATTAATAAAAAGTTGCTTAGCAAATCTTAATTTCATATTGTTAACATCCATCTCAACTTGATCATATTTTAATTGTTTAATAGTATCAAATGTTCCTCTAGATCTTTTCACTACAGAATTACAAAATTCATTAAATACTGGAGACATAAACACATCATCATTTTTTAATGTCAATTTCAGTTTTTCTTTTATCTCCTCAATTAATCTAAAAATTGTTAGAAATAATTAAAAATTGTTGAAGTGAAACTTCTTTAAAGTAGTCCGAAAAAAAAAATTATTGTGCATGACAGGCTGTAACGTTTGGCTGTCACGGATTCTATTGTTTTATTAGGTAAGCAATCAAAATTCTATTGTTCAGCAAATGTAAACGTTCATCAAACGGATACCATTAGGTACATGGTCAAATTTTTATTGTTCAAAGAATGTAAAAATTCAATAAAGGCGTATATTTGATAAATTTATACATTCAATAAACGTTAACATTCAAAAATTGCTTGCAATTTAATGTAATAAATAAATATTTTGAATTTTAAATTCATACAACTGTATTTGTAATATTAAAATAATTATTTTCAATCAACATATTATTTTATTACTTATTTATTACTAATACATAAAAATTTATAATTTCTTTATTTAATTCACTTAATTTGAATTTAAAAAATACAATGTATTTTTTTATTATGAAGAATTTGGCAAAATTATACATGGTGTTCAGTAAATAAGTTAATAAGTCAGTTTTTACAAGCAATGAGAACAATAAAAACTCATTTCCTTAGTTACTAAACACCTATATAAATAATTTAATAACGAAAATGCTAAGAACTGACAATTGCATAATGTAAAATTAAAAATTAATGCACTTTAAACAACAATAACTTTCGAACATAAAGTGCTACATGTTAAAAATTGTAGTATATTTAAATTCATTTATTTTTATGATTACATTAATTAAAATAAAATTTTTAATGGTTTTCAAAATGGTATACAAAATAAATATATTTATTATAGTATTTATTTGTATTTTAATTAAAATTAAAATTAAAATAAATATAGATATAAATAATATTTATTATTTATATTAATTTTTAATGTTATTTCTTTTAATTAATAATGATATAAGTAAACTGTTAAAGAAATTTTTTTAAGATTTGATTCTGCAGCAGCTTTCATAATAGAATGGCCCGTTAATGTACTTCCAGTGAATCCTACTTTTCTAATATCTGGGTGTTCTACTATTGCTTTACCTACTTCAGAACCTGAAATCAACATTTTTTTTT